CGATAGTACTAGTACTGTAAACCACTATTCCGGAGCTAGTGAAATGAGTCAGTCGGGCTATTTATGGTATACTCTGTATATGTAGTCGTGACATAAGAAACGGGCGCGGAATATGGATTCTATCACATGTGTCAACGATTACAGCGTTTCGCTTGTACTCGCTCTGTGCAGGGGCTGGACTGTGTTTCTGGAATGGTTATCGTGTACAGTCAATGACCTATCACAACGTTTGGAGCCTCGTTTCCAAGCTCTCGTAAGCGGCCAATCATCACCCTCTGTAAGTAGGCGGTTTTGGTTTTGAGCGCGATGCGGATTGGGGAGTTGGGGATTGTGAATTACGGGAGGGGGTGAATATCTCGCGCTTTGAATTACGTGTAGATATTTTTAGGAAATAAAATTCGATGCATTGGTGGAGAGCTATATTTACATACGGATACGTAGATGACCAGAACTTGAAGCGTGGTTGAATATATCCCAAACCCGGGAATCGGGGAGACATGTCTTCACACACATTTACAGTCGGGGGAAAAAGGATATCACGAGGTGTAGGTTACATGGATCTGGTTAGGCTGGACGTAAGCGCGGTTGGTGGTTTTGCGCCTGATTGAGGGTACCGGTGGGGATGGGGATGGGGAGAGGTATGCGGTTTGCTCGAGCATGGGTATGTGCGTCGAGGGTTAGGTATGATACATGTATCTTCGCGACGGTACATCAAAATTGTGAATCAAAATCTATTATGTTCCACTTTGTATAATGTCCTATCAAAGCGTTTCTACCAGCAGTGAAGTGGTGAGATACGTGTAAACAGTGTTGGCATGGGAATACTAACATCACTTACATCACTCACTTGCACATAAACGAACAAATCTCCTAAACGACCGTTTCCGTTTCGCCTTATTTTTGAAAAGAAAAAGTTAAAATCATATGGCGGAGAAATACAAGGGCTTGGGCTGTTATGAATTAAACAAAAAAAAAAAAAAAAAGGGGGGGGGGGGGGGGGCTTGGGCTGTTGGCAGATGCATGAAGCGGGAAAACGAGTGACGAAAAATGATCGAGTGATCTTAGATGACCATTAGTAAGCGAGATGGTCGCACCAAACTGCAGGGACTCGGCCCCTAACCCTACCTTTATGTCATCTGCACAAAATACATCAGAGTTGTTATTCTTATTTGCAAACTAAATCTCTTAAGCTGTTTGGCTGAATTGAAATACGTGCCTTTCTAAATGTTGATAATAGGTACATGTAGTAATTAACAACGCATCCTCTAGAAAGAATATTAGCGGGAAGGGACCCATAGGTACTTACTGTATGTACTTAATGAATTAATTGAATCGAATATCACCCCGCTGGAATGGTCTGTCAGGAATGGGAACGACACCTCGCGGGGGAAACCGTTACCGCTCGCTGGATGCCACATTGAACATGAAATAAGCCAGCAGAGAGGCTTGGCACCCAATTAATGATAGGATCAAAGGTGCCGGATTTTATCAGCCTAGCGGGAGGCGAAGCGCGGGTATTGTGATTCGTGGATTCCACTGAGGCGGCATGAAATGCGAGTGAGAGGTGGTGAATCTGTCAGCTTTTAATTTTGCCAAGGCTAAAAGCGAATCGAACTATCACCGCTGCATGCTGTCATCCTGCATGTTTACCTACGTACAGAATTAATGTCTACCGGCTTCCAGATCCCGCAAGGCTCTAAAATCATTTGGTATTTAATATGACACCCAAAGAGCGGTGCGGTAATTATAATGGCTTACCGCAAGTGTATCTATATCCATGCGGTACAAAGATGGACTTGCGACTGAGAGATAATGATCATACATTGCCATGGTACTAAAGCACAAGTACATACATGTAGGTGCCTTCCAACGATTCACGTACTTCATAAGCAGCCAACAACGCCTCGTGTGCTGCTTAATAAGCAGCCAACAACGCCTCGTGTGCTGCTTAATAATCAGACTAATTAGCACTAGTACTAGACGGACGAACGAATAGAAAAAGTAATTCCTATTTAGGCCATTCCAACAGAACAAATTGCTTTTAATTGAGCCATAATATATATAGAGATAGAAGAACAAAAGAAAAAGCCCAAGCGCGACTGCAAATAACATAGAGTATTCCAAACTATAACTGCGTCGATAATCCGTACGTACCCTCAGATTCGAAGACCAAAAACTGAGAGGGATTAGAAAAGGAAACGAATACAATTAGCGGAGTTATGGATAAGAGAAAAACTAACGTCATAAAAGTCATAAAATACTCCTTCTTGGTTTCTTAAAATGTTGCTGGAATAGGAGCTGCAGATGTACTCTCAGAAGTAGTAGATAGGATTTCTGGAAGTTTCATTCCCTCTTGCCTGGGAGGCTGCTGAGTCTGGAGGGATACGTTTGAACTGTGTGTGTGTTCGGGGCGGGGGTCGCTCCACTTCCGTAGCAACAAAGATAGCGCCACACCTGCAGAGATGGAAGTGGACATGAAGCATGGTTGTGGTGGGTTTGGTGGTATCTATCGAAATTCAAAAGATGATGAGTCTAGGAATATATTAAAGTCTAGGAGGGCGCCGTTGAGCGAAAATCTTTCCTAGGATTTCTCACAGTGCTCTTTCTTATTATACTAATAAAAATGCACTTTAGTGGGAAGTTTAATTCACTTTCCGTTTAGGAAAGATCTTCTTGACCCCTTCTCGTTTATGGAAGATCTGCATGTCCCTTCCCGTTTAGGAAAGGTCATTATGCATATCAAAAGTCGAGACGTGCCGAACCCGGGCTATACAATTATCTGACGCTGATCCTTGCCAAGTGAGGACTTGGCATTGGGGGCTGGCTGTGTTTTGTCGAGTGATTCAGTATGAACTTGACGAAATGCGATGACATTTAACGTCTCCCCATTGGACGGAGTGACGCCCGGTAAACGCGCTAGCTGTATATAGTTAGCTCTGTTCCGGCTGGGGGGAATCTTGACATGGCTAGTCAACTGGCCCCCACTTACTCGCTAAAGAGGCGACGGTTTTTAGCTGACCGCAGCTATTAACGGTCCTCAAAGTGTGGATCAAGTCAGGATCAAGATCAAAATCAAGTAAAGATGGTTGTTGTGATTGGCCGACCGGCTAAATTCAATTTGATCTTGGTTGAGCTTTTGATCCTGAAAAAAGTCGGATCAAAACTTAGGATCAAAATCAAATTTCATTCCTCGCCAAAATTTGTGTGTGGACAACCCTTACCCTGGAAATTTGATTTGATCTCGTTGCTACTACAGTTAGGGTACTCAAAGTTGACTCCAAAAATCAAAGCTCTCATTGGTTGCAGAGCACGCTTGATCTTGATCTTGATCCTAACTTGATCCTCACTTTGAGGACCGTTATTATGTAGAGTAGTTACCTGTTTAACCCTGACCCTTAACACCTCAGCCTTATTATTCATCGCGGATTTTCAGAGAGCGGTACCACGTGAAAATCCAGCCTTAGCAAAGAAACCCGAGTACAACCTATTAGAGCCTTCGCGCAAAAGACTCCAGCTCTAAATTCGGATTATCGGATTGGATAATGGGAGGATCGGCTGCACCAATCAGGTTACCGGAAAATAGAGTTGAAGTCTTTTGCGCAAAGCTACTTGTATGCTCTTAAGGAATCAAGAGTATGTATGTATATACCGAGAAAGCTATCATAATCCCACCCTCTCGAAAATTCCATCCCTACCAAACCTCCAGCGTTCGGAGGGAACGGAACCTGTGTTTCGCTAACAAATACCTCTTTCTAAATTCCATCCCTACGATACTTCCAGCAAAGTTCGGTCACCGTGGGGGTGGAATTATGGTAGGTTTAGCTGTATGTACTGGCCATGCATGGCCTGGTCTCTAACTTTAAAGAAAGAAATTGTTGGTCTTGATATTTTAAAGCTAGCTAAACTGTCAAAAGAAATCATACCATACATGTACATGTAGTTTATGCACGCGAAACCGATGAAACCATAAACTCCAAAGACTACACATAAACACTAGGAAGATCAGAAAAGGCAGGCTAGCTTATACGCATATACGAGGGATACTAACAATACCATAACGTGTCATATATCCATCCCTTAAACCGCGGGTGTGGCTATGACTGTGGCGGTGTCGGTGGTCTAGCCACAATACTAGCTCGGATTATGTTTGGAAGTTCCATTCCACCTTGCCTTTGAGGTTGGGTCTGGATGAGTGTATTCGAGACGTTCGAGCTAACGTTCGAGCTTGAAGCTGGATCCGGGAGCTTATAAGTGGGTAGGGCCTCTCTACTTCCGACGCAGCAAAAGATGGTACCGCACTTGCAGAGGTGGATGTGGATATGAAGCATGATTGTGGTGGGTTCGGTGGTAATGTATGTGAAAGAGTGAGTATTAAGTGAATAGCTATCCCAGATCGTTCGCGGTTCCTGAGCCCACTTTTCTCCAGGTAATTTCATGGCTGGTCTCAATATTTATTATAATCACAAAAATACACTTTAACAGGGGAATTTTCACTTTAAGAATGAGCTGGCGATAAGATTGGAATTAAATCCTGGGTATCTTATCGTACCGGTACCCGAGGTGCTTGGCACCAACATGCGGTCCGAACCGGCTGATAAATAATGTCGTGAAATTATTCACCGCAGCCAATCACAAGAAGGCTGGGCACTAGGCGCTTACTTCGCTGGGCGCAGAGCCTTGTTTTACATAATAGTTTGCAAAATACATACGTAATGGGCTTCAGTGACCGGAAGTGGCTGGAGTTACCTAGCTGTCCTGAGGGCGCTGGAATGACTAACAACAGAGCTTTTGCTATACGCTGTTTTAGGTAGGTCGCGAATTTGACAAATTCCATGATGACGAGTGCTGGCCTCGTTGATCTTAATTTATGAGCTGTGAATTAACTACAGAGCTAGCTAAACTGACAAAATAAATCGAATGGAATTTCCACCCTCAATTAAAGTAATACATCTTGCTCCAAATAAAACCGAATCGTAATATGTGCCCCCCGAATTTGAAGACTACTGTAGACATAAACGCTAAGAGAGATCAGAAAGAGTAGTAGCGGCTAGGAACACATATATAAGGAAGATACATACTAACATCATAAACTCAAGTGTCATGATATCTCTCCACTGATTCTTAGGCTACGGTTGTGGCGGTAGATCGGCCAGCCACAGTACCATCTTGGATTACCGAAAGTCGCATTGCACCTTGCTGTTGAGGTTGGGTCTGAATGAGCGTGCTCGGACCTGAAGGCGGAGGCTTAGAGGGTAGGGCTTCTCCGCTCCCGAAGCAGCAAAAAATAGTGTCGCACTTGCAGAAGTGGAAGTGGATATGGAGCATGATTGATAATATATTGTGATATAAGGTTTGCGGCTTTGTAGGTCCAAAGCTCAAAACGAGATTGACGGGCCCAGCTAGACGGAAGGCTTGGAAAGTACTGTTCAGAGAAAGCTCGCTCAGATGGTTTGTGGTTCTAGTTAGATTAGCAGGAACCATCACCTTATTATATACCTAGAAAATGGGCTTCAGAATGGAAAACAGCAGTCTTGCTTTTTTTTCTTGGCAGTCTTGCGGTGCCTACTCGTATCGTTGTTACATTTCCGGCGCGACCACTATTGCATGCCATACAAAAGATAGCCTTGGCGGGTTTTTTCTGTGTATGCAATAGCAGTTGCGTCCGGCGTTGGTCTGTGCCCGTAGCAAAAATCTTTTAAGGGCCAATAGGACTATCGGGTCACGGGGAAGTGACCACTCGCAATTCCGCCAATCGTCCAGTTTACCGCAGTCAACTGTGGTCACTATGCCAAGCCAGGACGGTGGACGGTCAGAACGGACTGCATGGACTGTAGTGGACTGCGGTTTTCCAGCCAAGCCAGTCCGTCCAAAGGGAGGACGGACTGCAAGGACTATGGACTGCATATCGCCTAAAAGAGTTTAGTGGTATTGTTTATTATGATGTTTATGGTAATTAAATAGATTTCCATCCTCATGAAGGTGAAAGAATATAATATAGAACTATTCTGGTATTAATTTAGTTCTCTTTGACTGTGATGATACATATTGTCTATGAGCTCTAGGTTGAGGCCGCCTCAACCTAGCAAGAACGCGACTTAGGTAACGCCCCAATCCAGCCCTGAGGGTCAATCATGCAATCCATAGTCAGACCGCAGGCAGACTGTGGACTAGTGCAAGGTAAGTAGACTGCACGATTCAGTCCCGTCTAGCCCGAGACTGGACGGTTGAGCGTATTGGGCACAGACCAACAAAATCCACTCTTTTAGCTCTGACTTTCGCAATAATTCTACCGGAAACTGTAAGCCTATCCTGCCGATTGGATAGCCGAAAGAGCCTCTTGCCTTATATGCATAGCGGCGGGCTTGGCGACCAACAACTCCCACCATTACGTGATCCGGGCTAGGCACGAGATAGTTGTACCTACATACCAGGTTAAACGGAAATTTGCAGAAACCATTACCGAGCCAGGTATGGTAATGTGTGCTCAGTTGAATATAGTTACTGTTCTTTCTTTACCTATCCCTACTAGCAGTGGAACAGGTGGGGCTCTATAGCGTGTGAGAAGAAACTCGAGGGCAGAATAAACAGGAACGTACTGCGTTTATTGGAGCATAGCTACCATATCTGGCTTCACACTAGGAGTACTGATATGACGGTCTGGCCTCTAGATCTAGCTTTAGAAGGAAATCGTTGGTCTCAGTGTATGAGCTGTAAATTACAGAACCAGCTAAACGTAAAGAAATAAAAGAAAGAAGAATCAAACAATTCCATACACCTGAAACCATATCTTCAATTGCAATTAATACCCCCTAATGCGCCAAACCAAACCGTATCATAATCTACCAAGACGTAGCAAATGAAGACTAAGAGAGGTCAGAAAAGGCACTAGTAGTAGCTACATGTAGCTACATGTGTAGACATATATATGCGAGAGGGATGTATACGAACATCATAAAGGGTCGTAAGATCTCCGTTCCTCAAGCTGTGGCCGCGACTGCACTAGCGGTAGATTCGGCGGTGGTACCGGCTTGGATTATGTTTGGAAGTTCCATTCCACCTTGCCTTTGAGGCTGGGTCCGGATGGGTGTATTCGAGCCATTCGAGCTTGATTCTGGGCCCGGAAGCTTAGCGGGCAAAACCTCTCTACTTCCGAAGCAGCAAAAGATTTCGCCGAACTTGCAGAGGTGTAGGTGGATGTGGAGATGAAGCATGATTCTAGCGGTCGATCTCGGTGGTATCTGTCGAAACTAATTCGAATTCGAAAGGTGACAAGTGTGTGAAAAAAATGAAGAGCCAGCCAACTATAGATCGCTTGCGGTTCTAGCTGAGGTTATTTTCTCCAGGTAATGTAATTTCACGGGGTCTAGCAGCTCAGTATTTATTATCTATTATTTATTATCCCTTGGACGGATGAATTTGTCAAATTCGCGATAAAAATGCAAGTTTTTAATTTAAATATTAAGATCCCGATCGGATCGTGTTTTACTTAATTTGGGTATAGAACCCTAACCCTGCACACCAACCAGCTTACCCACCAAAAATTGGGAACATGAAACTGGCATGCCCGGATTAACTTAGTATGAGGGGATCAATTATACTACGGGAGGTGGGTAATTACATGTACCGGGGAATGATAGGTATTAATTGGGGCTAGAAAGTAAGAGGGGGATCCGGGATGTACGTACTGCAACGATGGCTAATTGACTGATCAGAAGCATGGTCAATCACTCAGCTTGATAATTGACTGTATCCCCAATTAAGCTGGCCCCAATTGGCCACTCAACTGCGAGCTAGTTGGCCATTGGCAACTGTACTAGTACTGGGAGCTGGTCATAGGCAACTACCGGAGATGGCCAACTAGACTACTATACTTGAGCGGCTAGAGTACGTGCACTGGGAAGTACGTTACGGTGGAGATTCCCAGGTGAGAAGAGACCTCGCCATCGCGACTTGGCCGCTACTCGTGATAAGTACTATGGTGTACTGTAATCAACTGTATATATTTGGTATACGTATCCTTTTGACTATTTCACAGCCTGGTACGCAACCTCGCCCAAAAATTGGCATTTGTGAATGCCGCTCTGCAGTGGAGAGTAGCGATATTCGAAGTGTCAGTTGCAATTCGGAATTGACGGTTAGAGTAGATAAGCTCTACTGCGATCAGTTTTGATCTCTCATCATCGGGTTTAAAAGAGTCTGGGAATATATGTGGCTAGTATAATTAAAAAAGAAATTTACGTCCCCCCTGCAGTGCGTGATCGTCTAGTATAATATAGCTAGAGTCGATTATTCTCATAGATCTATAATTATACAATCATAATAACATAAATAAGAAAATAAATTAAAGGAAAGTTGAGGAATCAGCGCAAGCACATGAGTTATAGTACTGGCGGCCTGGCCTATAGATCTAGATTTTGGGGAAAGGAAATAGTTGGTCGACTCGACAGTTCATTATATGTAGAGAGAGGGAGAGAGAGCCGCGTACGTAGGTGAACCAGAGAAAAGAAATATTAAAAGAATTCTAGAGAAATTCTAATCAAGGAAATCAAGTGATTTTCATGACCTAGCTAGGGTGATGAAATCATGCTCATGCGTCAAGTAATTAATGCAATATTGCAGTGCGCCTTGCACCAGACAAAACCGCATTATAATCTGTACCCACAGGAGAGTACACATACGCATCCAAGAGGGATATATATATGCTAACACCGCGGCCGCGCATCAGGTGTTATTCCTTAAGCCGTGGCCGTGGCCGCAGATGTGGATGGGGATATTACATTGCGGATGTGGATGTGTTAGTAAGCAAGATCAATGTCGCGGCAAGAACAATGCCGCAGCACACTCTCTGTCAAGGTTTCCCCACCACACTCTGGAGTGTCGGTTGCAATTAATACCCTTTGTGCAACACCAACGCGTCGCGTCTCCCCACACTGACCTCATCCCCCCTCCCAACCCCCACAACCCCCCAATCCAATCCAAACCACCACCACCACCACCACCACCACACGAGCGAGCACACAGAGAGCACACAAAAGAGCGCGCCAAACCCACCACGCACAATGTCCATCCACCTCCTCCCCGCGCCCTCCATCCGAGCCCTCACCTCCGGCCAAGCCCTCACCTCCCCCCCGTCCCTCATCAAAGAGCTGCTCGACAACTCGCTCGACGCCCACGCCACCCACCTCTCCGTCGAGCTCTCCGCCAACACGCTCGACGTCCTGCAGGTCAAGGACAACGGCCACGGCATCCCCCCCGCCGACCGCGACGCAATGGCAGTCCGCCACTGCACCAGCAAGATCCGCGACTTCTCGGACATTGCGAGCTGCCGCACTCTAGGATTCCGTGGGGAGGCGCTGGCCAGTGCGGCGGAGATGGCGGGTGGGATGACGATAACGACACGGGTGGAGGGGGAGAAGGTGGCGGTGGCTTGTGGGGTGGATAAGGCGGGAGCGGTGGTGGAGAGACGGCCAGTGGGGGCGGCGGTGGGGACGACGGTGAGGGTCGAGGGGTTTCTGAAGGGGTTACCGGTGAGGAGAGAGGTATGTGCGTGTGCTTTCTTTGGGTATGTTGTTTAGGGAGGGGTGGTGGGTTGTGGTGGTAGTGGTGGTGGCTGATGGTGGGTGTAGAATGCATTGAAAAGCGCGCCGAAATCAATTACGAAGCTACGAGCGCTCCTACAGCGATACTATCTCTCGCACCCGCACTGCCGCTTCTCACTCCGAATCCTGGCCGCGCCGGGGAGCAAAGGCCGCACCGAGGACGTCATCTACGCACCCAGCAAGAGCGTGCCCGAAGCCGTGCAGAAGGCCGTCGGCAAAGACGTTGCCGCAGCCTGTGAATGGGTCTCCACCCCCTCCTCACAGGGTGAAGATACAGAGGGGGAAACAGAACAACCGATCGTCCTCGAAGCATTTCTCCCAAAACCAATAGCGCCGCCAGCAGTCATCGCCAAGAAGCCGCAGTGCACAAACTTCGTGTATGTCGACTCCCGCGCGGTGTCGTGCGCGCGGGGAACACTGAAGCAGGTGCTCGGTCTCTACAAGACGTACCTCAAAGCCGCCCTGAAGGCACCGGGGGTGTCGGACCCGTTTGTGTATCTGAATATCCGGTGCCCACCCGGCTCCTACGACCCAAACATCGAGCCGGCGAAGGACGACGTCATGTTCCATGACGCCGGCGCCGTGCTTGCGGCCGTCGAGGGGATGCTGAAGGCCTTCTACGGCGAGCTCAAGAGCGACGATAACAGTAGCAGCAGCACCAACAAGGGCAAAGCCGTAGAAAGGCCGCGAAACGGCTTCGAGGTGCTACTGGCGCGGAAGCCGAAGGCAGTGCCAGTACCGGCACCGAGTGCAGAGACCCCCGAGGAGAAGAGGAGTGGGAGGCCGTATGTGCGCGCGGTGCAGGATGTGGAGTATGATGAAGACGAGGAGGAGCTTGCGGCAAGAGAAATGGACGCTGTTATGGGGAGTGGTAGGATGGTGGGTGTCGATTCGCCGCCGCGGGGGAAGATGGTGCAGACGCTTTTGCCGCCGGCGGTTGTGGTGGAGGAGGAGTTGGATCAGACAATGGGGGGGGTGGAAGATGTGGAGGAAGAAGCTACAGCTGGGCCGTCCGGTGAAATTGCGCCAGTTGAGAAGGCGCTTCCCCCTGCAGTGGGTACAGAAACAGTACCTGTAACCCCGCGCCGTAAGTCCACAAACTGGGGCTTCAACATGTACGGCGGCGCCGACGACGAAGATGACGACGGCGAGGAGGAGGCATATAAGCCCATGGAGCCCACCGCCTCCGGTAATCCCTATACCCCAACCCACCCTGTTAGCATCCCCACAACTGACTGCAGCCAGATAACGAAGAAACAGCACAGAGAGATATCACAATCTCAAACCCCTGGACTACCGCAAAGCTAAACTCTCCAATCGCCCGCTCCTCGCCGCAGCGACAGCTGAGGAGGCCGTTTAAGCCGCCGTCAGTCGTCGTGTCGCCAGGGAACAGAAGAAGCAGCAGGAGCAGGGCAGATGCGCCGATTTCGCCCGCTGCGAGCTCACCTGGCGGGTTCAGGGGGGACTCGGCGGGGAAGGCCAGGAACGGCGGTGACGGGAACACAGGCGTCATGAGTTCCTGGATCTCTGGATCCCGCAGAAAGGGCGGTGAGGACGGCGAGGCGAGTCCAGCGGCTGTGAGGAAAGGGTTCGTCTCCGCCGCCAAAATCTACCGCGACAACCCCACCAACGACGACGATGATGACGAAGTCCCCCACCGCCGGCGCCCCCTACAAGCACCCAAGCGCCGCCGCCTCAACCAAGACCCCTCGCCCGCCGACGACCCGGAGCCTGCACTAGCCAGCCCGCCCAAGTCCTCACCGCACAAGAACCGCTTCCTCGCCGCGACGGCCGCGCTGCACTCGCCCGCCCAGCAGACGACGCTGACGGGCGAGCCCCCCGTACTCCTGCCGCCGCCGGCGCAGGCGCGGCGGTCAAAGTCGCGGCGGCGCACAAAGACGCTGTTGCCGCTGGAGACGGTGCCGGAGCTGGTGATGCAGACGCATATGCTGCGCTGTAGTGTGGCGGTGGATGCTGCGCGGCTGAGGGGGGCGGTGGGCGGGTTGAGGGCGTGGGATGGGTATGTTGGTGGGAGTGCTGCTGCGATGGCTGGGAAGGGGGAGGAGGGGGTGGAGGAAGTGGATGATGGGGCGTTTTGGTGTGAGGGGGGGGAGAGGGAGGGGGAGGCGGGGGTGCTGGGGGGCGTGGTGGAGAGGTGGTTGGGCGGGTTTGGGGTGAGGGTTGGGGGGTGGGAGTGGTGTGGGGAGGAGGGGGGGAGGGTGTTGGTTGCGGTGGATGCGTGATGGGTGAGTGGGAGTTGATTAGTTAATTAATTATGTAGTTAATTAGTAGGTTAGTAGTAGCTGTGCGCGTCTTGTCTGTAGCTGGTAATGATTGCTGTACTACTATTGATATCACTACTAATTTCCTTTTCGGGCTGTTGTATGATTGGCCATCTAGTAAAATCCAATCTACTTACTACACCGTTGCGGTGCACCCATCTTCTTTCGGACTGTCTCATCTGCACCATCCTAATCCCTGCACACCCACACCCACAGAAAAGTAACGCACGCACATGCAGGGGTCCAGATGACGTGCATGTGCACATGCAGATATCCCTGTCCCTGCATCCCGCAGGATGGCACATGTGGAAACCTGGTAACGGCTGGCACACAACTTTACTTGGACATCAAAGTGATATACCAAGAGGTGTGGGTGTGTATGCGAGTATAGTGTGGTGGCTGTGGAGTGTGGAGTGTGGGTGGGTCGTGGGAGGTCACTCGCGTGTGGCGCGGCGCGGGCGTGGGCTTGGCGGTGTGAGGCTCTATGGATGGCTGACTAAGGATTATGTATGTACTACGGGTGTAGGGGTCATTGACAGTGAGAACAGTTGCAACCGCGGCCAATGTCAACAGACTTACCCCGACATGCGTAGTAGTTTCTTTCGTTGAAGTGCAGCTTTATCTTTATAGCGAAGCGGACCTGGTGGTACGTAGGTGGATTTGATGATGGGTGATGGGTGATTCAAGTGTATATATGGGTTCTGGCTGGCGCTGGAGTATCATCGCACTAAGTGCGAGACCCGCTTTAATTTGCGGGAATTGTTTGTCCCATATTAATTCGACGAACATGGTTACTAAAATAAAAACACTTGATGCGGGCGTGCGGGGAGTTCGATTATTATGGGGGTGGTGGTTCAATTCTGGTATGTAGCGGACGAGTGTACCTACATAGAAATATTCCTCGCCAAGGTAGTGACTAAGCACCTCATGCAACGCAGGCTTCGCCAAAAGTCAGCATCCTATCAAGGGTAACTATGTATTTTCTTTTATATTTTTTGTGGTAATTATATTAAGTCGTGAGAAGAAAAGGCGCGCGCGCGGCGGTGTATGGCGCCGGCCAAAAGATAGAAATTACAACAAACGACACGCCGAAATCAACGCCCGTAGACCTATAATCCTTTCCAAAAAACGCTCAAAGACTCCCAATTCGACCCGTACACCAATATTACCGCTTCTAGTCTGCGTGAAAGTGAGGTAAACCTCGTGCTTGAGAGCGTGTCTGCAAGTGTATATACCTTTAACTAGACTTCGTTAGATGCCGCAACACCTGCTGAGCTCGTAGACATCATATCTACTAGTGGATAGACCATACTGGCCGGCTTTGGAGGCTGGTTCTCGACGGTACCGCTGTCAACCGTGGGAGGAGAAGGTGCACTGTCTCCGGTTTTGATTTCTTTAGACCAGGGACAACAGGAAATTGTTAATGAGTCGCATTTGAAAGATATGAGGTTAACCTGAGCAGGGAGCATGATGGGTAGATAGGTTGTTAATTGCTGTTGATTTAAGGTTTCGGGGGCTAGAAAGCAACAGAAGAGCTAGGCATATTAGCAGTTATTCGAAGTGATAGTTAATTAATCAAGGGAAGAACTCGAGGGCAGCATACCAATTTCGTGGAGAAATCGAAATTGTTGTAATGGAGAGAAGAAGTTTTTCTCGGAAAAGGAAGGCTACTATGTGTTATTTATTGGCCCCTCCCCTGAGAACCCGCACTCAGGTGGGTGTTTTCGGAGGGTCATCTCAAAAGCCTCCTCATGAACAAGCATCAGCAACGTGAACCGCCTCCACAAGTGTCATCTGCATGACCTAACCCCTGCACCTACCATTTATGGTTAGAAAATGTCGCACCACTCTTGTCTCGGTTAACCAGGCCCCCCGATACTATGAATACAGAGGTTTTCGATGCAGGATTAACTGTCCGATAGGTCTACCAAGTGCCCGCTCAACCCATTTTTCGATGCGAACATGATGGAAAGTGTCCCAACATGTCTAGGGGTCCCAATTTTGGATGCGAACATGATGGAAAGTGTCTCTACATGTATGAGGGGCCCAATTTTGGATGCGAACGCGATGGGAATTACCTTTATCTGCCCCGTTAGTCCAGTTTTGAGTTGGGGGAGGTTGAAAAGAGCTTTAGCTAACCATTTTGACTTATTTTTCAGCGTGTTCTTGATGGAGCGGATCTTGTCGGGCAGTGATTGAAACTGAGAGTTGCTTCTCCATGTCGTTAAGTAGCTGAATAGATAATTGAGAATCTTCTTCTTCTAACTTATAAAAGGTGGATCGTATCCTCTCATTAACTTCTCCGAGCTTCAGTACTCTTGCAGTCCTACCCGGGTCAGGTGCTTTTGTGATAGCAGGTGTATCAACATTCTCCGGAATCAATTCCTCATAGCTTGCAGTCCCTCCAGTCTGGAACCTGTTCAGGTAACGTTGCCAAACTTCATTCCTCAAAATGCGATCGGGCTCGCCTGTATTTGTGTCTGGCGAAGATATGGATGCTCGATCCATATGGAAAATATGTTGGCATGGTAGCTTATAACGCCGTGAAAAAAGACAGTTGCAGGTGAATAAACCCGTATTGCTATCTAGTTCACGGACTGGAGGAGGCATTTCCTGTTCCATTCGCGTCGCCACCTTGCTTTCCTCTATAGCGATGGTCCGTTGTATGGAGTAAGGGAATTCTGCAAGCAGCGGGTAGGTTTTGGTAAGAGTTACTTTCCGAGTTTTTGCTTCAAGACGCGCTGATTCAATGTTGTTTTCAACATCATGCGCGCAATCATGTACTGTCCGTATACATCCGTAAATACCATGCGTACTAACCTCGCCTTTCTTGAGCCCAGCTCCGTTCTTTAATCGCCCGTGCCATGCTTCGTACGCGTTAGTTGATGTATTTTGAAGAAGTATCTGGCAGTGCTGCCTCGCGTGCATTGCCCAAGCTGTATGTGTACCGAGCCATTCTTTCCTGATGTAATCTCTCTTTCTTTCTGACGAGGCTGCTCTGATTGCATCATTACAGAGCGATAGGCATTGAGTTTCAGTCGTACATCTGATTGCGTATCGTAGAAAATTGAAGGATTCTTGGTCGATTCCGGCTTTGAAATTACGCGACAGAGTGCGTTCGGAGTGGACTGTACAGAGAAGATGACTCTTGAGAAAACCTTCGCCACCAAATGCCTTTCTCACCGCTGCCTTTTCTATGGCACTATTGTCGGTTAATGGATACTGCATTCTCCATCGTCTGTCAGACCATTCATAAATCCGCTGCATGCAGCGTGCTAAAATGTCAGAATTCTCACTTTCAACCAAACAATTGGCTGCCGGAACCCAGATACCATTTTCCTCGCGACCCATGAACGTGAATAGGTTGTAATTATGGAGATTTATCTTGTGTGTTGAATCAAACAGAGTTAAATACCCATGCAAAATCAGAAAATTGAGCTTGTATGGGTGTGCAAAAACCATCGCTTTTATTGCTATCTCTGTTTTAATGTTTGTAGACATCAACGTCTCGCAGAAATACCCATTGTCTAGTAGAAACCGTGTTGCTGAATCCCAGTTATCATGAATTGTAGTTCCTACTGCCGGTTTCCGTATATCTAGTCGCATGCCCTTTGCCAAATTTGCGCAATCTTTTCTATTTTATGTTAGGTAAACTCGTGATTTGGATAATAAACAACTTACCTCTTCATGAATGCACCACCGATAGATTCTAGTCTTTCGTAACCGGCGACTTTCCCAACGCCTTTTAACCGATCCTTCACCTGCCCTGGAGTGTATCCCTTTGCTAGCTCATCTTTAATTATATTGATTAAAAACGTGCATCGTTTTCTCTTCCAGTCTGCTTCAATTGTATGGTTATGCATGCATAAAACCTCCCCTGCTTTAATTTGCTGTTCGAATATCCAAAATTTGGCATTCTCACCAGTTACAGGTGATTGAGTTTGCTGAATAGGCTCGATAACCTTAATCTTCATACCACAGGTTCCGGCAACATTATAGGAGGTAACGCGTGATTTACCACTCGAGTTTTCGCTGGGAAATTTTTCGGCCTTGGAAGGGAGTCGGGGTGGAGATAAACAGCAATGATAGTAATGAGTTATGAATTTTCCGTGCACATGCGACTCCTTTCTCCTGTGCGTCCAAAACCCATCTACAAGAGGCCAATATGTCCGGTATTGCTGTTCAGTAACATAAAATCTTCCATGAAACTGGAAGCGGAAGAACTTGTCAATCCATGCCTCGTGTTCAGCTGGTAGCGGGATCAAGTGAGAAGTCATGATGGTATATGGTTTCAAAAAAAAAAATTCACTGAGAAGAAGGAACGGCAAGACAAAGTGTTAGCAAGGCACAAATCCGAGTGATAGTTCATGGCAATAACAACGCGAAAATACCCTCTCCCCTTTTTGGAATATATTTCTTTTTAATACGCGACTCAGATTCACCAAGACCGTCAGTGCTCAACCCAAGTCCGCTCGCGCCGTTGAAGTGAGACCAGGCTGCTATAACCCACTCCCCTAATACAGACAACGATAACCAAAAATACCTTGGCACTCTACGATAGCTATAGTACGCCCACTCTTAAAGGTAACCAAAAGTGATGAAAAGTCAATCGCTTATAACTTCATGACCATGATAGATATCAAAAATCTGGTAGGATAGAACTAAAGTTCGTCACCATCACTATACTTCTATCTTACTACTTTTTTGATATTATTTTGGTGGTGAAGTTATAAGCGATTGAATATGGCTGTTGTTCTATATAAAAAGCGCCAAGACTGAACAAAGTGGAACCGTATTGGCATACCCATTTATACCCCCTGAAAAGCAAAAGTGATCGAGTTGTGGCAATGATGCAGCAACATGCCTAGAAATGGGCCCTTTGGTTTGCTCATGAGTCTATATTACAGCCATAATTAATTGTTCCACATCAATATGCCGCCGTGTCACCTTTAAGAGTGTGCGCATCTGGAACTGTTTTTTATGGAAGATATCTTAACTGAGGTACGAATGGCCGATAACTCCTCCAAATAAAAATATGTGGCGGGTTGCTACGGCTACTGCTCATAAACCCTGCAAACTTTCGTTATCGTTATGGAAAACCTGTAGCTAAATCTCCCTATTGACGATAGAAGACTTTACCCATTCAAGTGTTTTTTTACTTCTAGTGAACCAAACCCTCACTCCGTGAACCATTTTTGCAGGTAAGCCACAGCTTGTGACCCCGTCCTTCTCTTTTATGGCTAGATTTTTGCCAATCACTATTGCGAAAATCGGGTACAGACCGCGAAGGGATGCCTGCAGGGCCTACGGTTAGGGTATCGTGTCATCAATCATGTAGTATCGCTCGGCCTTGGCACATTAAACATTTATTATTGGACCGTGTGCGCTTGATCGCTCCTTCCCCACATAGATGCCGTGATGGTTTTTGGAACGCGGGATTTGCTCACTGGGTTGTGGAACTAGTTAGTTACGTATGATAGAAATTGGCCATGGGGTTATTTGGAAGGAAACGTGAGTGGGTGAGTGGTTGGACTACTCGCGTGCGCCTCTGACTCTATCTCTCGCTATGGGGATTGATTGCTTACTATCTCCAACACTTCCCCGTAAGATGGAAGACACGAAACAGTTGTGCAGAGAGGTGTGTTGTTAGAAACGGATGACTTACCATCATATCATTGTTGGGCGCTCGTATGTAGAACATCTGCTCGGGTTGAATGTCATATATAGCCAACTCACCATCTTGGATTTTATCCACTTAGAGTTCACCCTCCCCGCTCCACAGACATCAGTGTCAATCTATACACACGTCTTCCCCATTCCCGCAATCACCAAGACATCCCAACCACCACAACCGACTACCCCAGAGTGCAGGCATGGCAGAAACAGTAGAAGATTAGGAGTCAGGGTAGAATGGGACTTACGGAATAGAGGCTCTACCAGCCAATGCATCTTTTAATGCATCATTTTTTTGTATGGGTAAATTCGTACGGAAGTGGTATGAAAATCGTATTTCAGATGTGTTATATCTGTACCTGTGCGAGGTAAATCATTTGTATGGAGGAAATATATCAATAATGGATCAAACAATGAATCTTTTAATGCATTAATTAATGCATCAATCGATGCATTAAAAGTATGCATTTACCTGTTACCTATAGTGGTAATAAAAAACAAAAAGTGAACGTTGAAGGATTTGAACTAGAGTTCATCTCTCAACTACTCAATCCCCTATCTACTACGCCATAAATGAGGATGATATCTTATCAATTGTAGCATTAATGGATGGAGATTGGTGGAGAAAGTACATTACAATGTCATTGATTGATCATCTAAAATGAATACCAAAGTCGTTTGTGATCCAAAAGTGTAAAATAAGGACCAATAAGTCGTACATTAATCGTTTTAAAATAATTTCCTAATTATCCCCCAAGTAAATGCATCAAATAATGCATCAGGTGATGCATTTACAAATATCGTCCCGAGTTAATGCATCATTTGTGCCTTTTCCTCGTCGGATTTGTATGGGCAATGTGTAAATTGATGCATTAACATGTCTGGTACAGAGGGTAAGCCAAAAAATGAGTAAAAACCGTCATTATATGCTAGAATTGAGTCCAAAATAGTGTCTGGGGTTGGGGGATAGGAGTACGTATGCGTGTGCTGGAAAGATACTCCAGCTGCAGCTCCTGGGATATTACTCGACCGGGGGGGGGGGGCTATTGGTCATATTTTTGTAGGGGACGGATTGTAGTTGTGGTTCCGCAACATTCGTTTTGCGTTTTTGGACAGAGGGGTAGTGGTTAAGCTGGACTGGAACGTGGGTTCTAGTTATTCGGGACAATTAGGCGCTCAATCAGAAAGTTTGGGTATGTACAGACTTTTAGGTTTCTGGTGTGGGGTGTGTCTTTTATGATCAAGTGGCTAACAGTGTTTAGAATATCATATTGATTACGAACATACCTAGGAGCTAGAGTTGGGTGGCTAAAATCGAAATTAGTGGTCTTCTAGTCCTAGTTTTCCGTCCTATGGTGCTGTTTGTACTAGGCTAGTGACCCTAGCTACTATTACAGGGACTATAGGCGATGGACTATGGTGCCAAGGAATACAACCGAAGACGAGACGTGGTATGAGGGTTTCAGGACTATGGACTATGGGATGGTACTTCCTGATCGAAGACTCAGGATGAACCCTATGACGTAGTATAGAACAAAGTAATATTCGTAGCGTAGAGTACAGAGGTTGCGTAAAGAAAAGAAGGAAAGAGAGAAAACAAACAAAAGTACGAAACAACGCTCCCTTATATATCCAACCATAGTCCAATGATGACTAATACCTCTGCGTAACAGAAACCAAAAGAACATAACAGAAATCCCGATTACAAATCCTAATTCCACTACACAATACCTTCTCGTCTCGTACCATTCTATTACCTAACCGGAATACATAGCTGCCGTTACAGCTACGTTTTTGAGCCTAAACGATTGGAAAAGATGAGAACTTTGAGTTTCCTGCTTGATTTTCCTTCTAGAGCTATAGTCAAGTACAAAAGTACGTGTTGATTTTCTTTTCGCCTAGCTTGCACTACATAAATATTTTTTTCGATTTACGAACACCAAATCATGCCCCTGAATGTTAGTTTAAGCCAAATTTTGCACGTTTAAGAGGTAGTTGAGATCAAAATAGTTCAAGAAAAGATTGGATCACTTCAAACCACATGTACAGTACCTCCCATTTGGTAAGTTGCCAAAAAAAAGATTTGGAATATTTCGCATGTTGTGGTGCGTGGCGCTAGGCAAGCCATAATGTTGAGTATTAGCTTGCCGACTATGGAGACATTTTTCCAGCCTAAGACAACTTGTATGTGGTATGCTATCAACTATTAAATAAGCGAGGCGGCATACCGCAAAATCTCGAGTGATTCGGGGGGTTGCCAAGTCACCTGCTAAACTACATTTAGTTTATGCAGTTTTCTTCGGACTCTTCCTCTAAAGGTGAAAATCCTCAGCTTTTTGCCTTAACAACCCCCTGAATAACTGTAGAGCGGGATAACACGACGTCAAGACACCCAAATTGTTTGCCCAAAAGATAGAAAATACAGAAATTGCTACGTGAAATGTGTGTAGTAATTTATGTATAAGAGTCAAGATGATTTCGTTAAGTTCTATCGTATAGGTTTATTTTATAATAGGTACTCCGTTGGTCATAGGTGGTCGGGATGCCACCTATCTGCCAAGTGGCATCTAGGCGTGCCCGGCGGACACCCATTTCCGGCGGAGACACCATTAGTAATCATGTAACTGCAACACCTTCCTGAGGATTACTCTCAAACAACGCTATTTTGGGAGGTACAGTAGTACTGCCGCATTTGTAAGAATACTATTAGAAATGCCGTATTTCTACGGCATTTACATTACTGCCCAAATTCTATGCCATGTGGCTGTGGATACATGTAATATCTGACTGTACACGTGGGTTTTGTTTATCTCCATTGAAATATCTCAACTTCACATTAAATCATCACCAAAATTTCGAACACAACAACTCAATTCATCAATAGGTCTATGAATTCATCTCCCTCATCGATGGGTTGCAAAGACCTGGGGAATACTTCTGAAAAATATTTTTTTAATTCTATGTGCCCTTATTTTATACTGGTCTGATAAGTCAGTGAGCGACGAAGATATAATTAATAGTAAAATAGTAATGGTAATAGTAATAATAATGATAATAGTAATAATGACTGCGAATCCTGATGATTATCGTGATGGTGTGGTAGGCTGGTAGCGGTATCTGACTAGGCATTCAAAGCACAGGTTAGCATTTAAAGCAGTACAGGTTAGCAGTCTTACAAATGCCGCTTTACAACCGCATTCCACTAACAATGCCGCATTCTTTGAAATGCCGGAGTGCTGCCATAGCTCTGCAGTAGTAATATCACCCCGATTTTTGCTAGTGTAGTTATGACAAGAGGCTAAAGTGTACGTTACAGTTACAGTTCCCAGTCCGGACTAGCGCCTTCTTACCTCCACCACCACTTTTTACGTATTTCTATGACTAATCATTCGCTACGCCCCACAACGTGTGCCCCACGTGAGCGGGTGCTGGCAGGGGTGCGGAGCGGGGTGCGGGGTGTAAGGGCGTGCGCGGGGGCCATGCAAGGGTGTGCGCGGCCAAGGGGAAATGATGATAATCCACGTTTCTTTTGAAAACGAAAATAACTGTTATGGTTGGGGACACCTGTAACCTGACCAATTTCGGGGGTCAACTTCAACCGCTAATGACTTTCCCCAACCACACCCTAAATTATTTTTCTCTCTATTAAGTGATATTTCTGCTTCTCCTCTACAATGTAATAGAGCCAGAATAATTTTATCTTTCCTGGTGGTGGAGCTATTAATACTCAATTAGGGTATAATCTACAACCCTAACCCTGACACTCCTTTATAGTCTGGCGCGAGACTAGATTTACGCCCGCAACATACTTCCAAATTGTGTCAAAACCAAGAGACGAAGGAACAATGAAAAAGCCGTAGTATTTCCAGCACAGTGCATAGTTGTCCAAACCTGTATCAACATTTTCAAAGTTTAGCTGATCTGCAATTGCCCATTGCTACATGTAGCTTTAGAACTCGCGGAAGCAGCTCGTATTACCGAACGCGACCGTAGACTCCATTGAATGCTACAACAGACCCCTTAGATGTTTGAATTATATTACTAGATCATAGGTAGACCCTTGTCGGTATCCTCGGATGCTCTAGAGCGACGAGATCTCCACCGACTGCGCTGGGCGGGCTAGGAAGAGGCGCGATCTCTTTGGTTTTAATTTCTTTGGACCAAGGGCAGCATGTACAAGAGATGTGTATCGAGCCCATTTGAGAGAAATCAAGTTTACTACAATAGGGATCATAATATAGTTGTGTGCTCGAAAGGGTTTCGGTGACAGAAGATAGTAACGGTGTATGAAGACCTTGCCAAAAATTAAATCATGAGCCTTCTAGCTATTTGAGGTGGTAGTTAGCTGGGGTATAATCCAAGGGAAACTTACAACCGTGTATAAATGTGGGGACTTGGCTTGAAAGACTGTAGTTTTGCTAGAGAGGGGGAAAGAAATTAGAATGAAGTATGAAAAGGAGTGGAAGGAGAAAGTCTCAACTGCTGCACAATGTGGACATAAGAAATCACTCGTCATATGCTCCACGTATTACAAACCACGCTACAACACGCTAGCTCATCGCCAAGGCTTGGTACTGTTACTGTTACTGTACAAAGCAGCCAATCGTCGTAAGAAAAACTAACAGTCCGCTCCGTTCGATAGGGTCCCCTTTCCCATCACTCTAGTCAGATTTGTGACACTGACGTAACCACGTAACCAATAAACTTTAAATCTTCCTGGAGCTCTGGGAACATTGGTGAGGGCCCAGAATGATTTGTCATTTGTCCCGTAAATTGGAGGCTATACTCCAGTGCGCGGCAATAGAGTCTTTTAGCTGCAATAGTTGGACAGAAAGTCAAGCACTTCGACAAAAGGCCCTACACATATTGTTGGTTGAGCGACTGCAAGTCTCTTCCTAAAACAGCTAGAATTTCCGTCCAACTTGCTCGACTTTCTGTTCAACTCACGCAGCTAAAAGACTCTAATGAATTAGTGAGGCTTTGTTGCGTTGCCATACACGATTTCATTTTTGATTAGTCAAGAGCGAGTAACCCTAATCCTACTGGAACTGCGCTGCGCTTAGCAACGCCCTAAAGTAGATCAGTGAGCGCTAGCAAACTTAAGAATTACAGCTCGTACTCTGCAATTGCTCGAACTCGGGCTCTCAAGGTGCTGCGCGGCTTTCGAACCCTAATTTCTCACACTTATAGCTTCACCCCAGACTCAGGGCAATCTATTGGTGGTGGTGGTCGCACGTTGTTGGTTAATTTCGATATCAAACACGGATAACTACGCTACATGCACATCACGTACCTACTTTCGCTGCTCTCTTTCTCTTTGGCTCAGAGTGCTCAAAGCACAATGATGACGAAGCGATGCCTGGAGCTCTGTGCCTGCTTAACCCTGAAGTAAACTTCAGGGCAATCAATCCCTGGCTTATTTCGATATTCTTATTGGCCATTTCCACAATATGATTCTGTATCACCCCACTCTCTTTAGATAAAGAATGCACAGCATCCATACGCTGCCATGATGGTGCATGAAGTGACAGCTGTACTTGCCTCTACGGCCATCGAGTTTCATCGAAAATACCACTTCCCGTCCGTTCGCATATGATTTCACTGATATTGGTGCATAACTAGATACTCTCCTCTAATCGACTCATTGACTTTGGGCGATGCCCCTTGATTGATTGATTGATAGTTTATTAATTGTGGATGATGCCCCTTGGCCTTGGGCAGAAGAAATTCTTAATTCGTAGCCTGATCTGTGCGCCATTTATATAAGTTAGGTAACTTTTTGCTTTCTAGCTGCGAGTGATAATAGCTAAAAAGCCAATCGTTAATTAATGTTACCTGCTAAATAGGTCTATTGTGGTCTTAACGAGAAAAGGTGCGAATTATTTCATCCGTCACGATCGAGTTTTTCTTTTTTTTTTTTTTTTTTGTTTAATTCATTAATTGCATGCAACCTTACAGTTATGGCAATCGTCACGATCGAGTAAGCATGATGACCTTAACCGTATCAGTACGAGACCTTTTGGATATATATATGATCATAACTATTGAAATACGACTAAATAAACAAATGAAACCCTTGAAAGGATATAGTCCCAAACACCCGCAACATACATTCCAAATAATCATCAAAAGAATGTGAAAAAAGGTACTTTGCCGACGTACATAGCTATAAACATCTGCGTTTACAGTGACAAGACTTACAGAGCGCGAATTTCGACAGTACCGTTAGATATCGCTGCAGTAGGCTCCTCTGGCGCTTGAACTGCTGGATAAACCATACTCTCTGGCCTCAAGGGTTGTACCTCAATATGCTCTCCAGAGCTCTTCGACCGAGGATCAGATGTAGCCTCTTTCGTCTTGATTTCTTTGGACCAGGGGCAACAGGAGATGCTTATCGAGTCGCACCTGAAAGAAAACATACTGACTTGAGTAGGGAGCATAATTTTTTTCTTCTTTATTGACGGAGGCCGGGCCTGTTTTTCTTCTTTTAGCAAGTGTTTCTATTAGAAGGCTTCTGGGGGAAAAGCTTACAATGGGAGGACTCTGGGCGAGGAAGGTAAATGGGCCGCGCCGGATTTCGGCTTCGGGGAGAAACGATGAGCAAGTGCCGATGTCTTGGTGTGTTTTTGACCCGGATTTAACACAGAGATTCTAATGGACTTCTTGGTCGTCGAGAGTAAGGTATATATGCAGCGGTAGTTTAGGTATCCGGTAGCTAATGATACTAGTGATGGTTAGTTACCCCTCAAGGTCAGCCTTTTGGATAGATCACCTGGGTATGGAGCATGGGAGAAATGTACACACCACTAGTACTGCAAATCTAAACAATTTATATACGAGTTGGATGAAAATAGAAGTGCCAGAGCGACTCTTATCGATGCTAGATTTACATAAGTAAGCACACGTCTTATTGGATAGAAATTATCTCGACTGCGGAAGATGGTAATAAAGTTGGGTAGGATTTGAGGGCAACGTACTATAACTGGCATGCTACTATAAGAGCAGCTAGGTTTATGTGAACGTAGAAGGTGGATTTAGGATACCGTTGAGAGTGGAAAAGACGGGAAGAGGTAGCACTTATATAAGTGAAATTAAGTTTCGGGGAATATCTACGTATACGGCGCATATCGTCCTGCGTAATTCACGATAGAGGGTGTGCGAACTTTAATTCTCATTGGCAGCAAAGAAGCGTCTAGGGTGTTGATATGAGACCACCCCCCAACCTCCTGTATGCATAACTCTAGCACTTATGGAATAGCACTAAGTCTCGAGCGATGAATGGTGTCCCACAAAAGCCAAATTATGTGTGGCTTTACTAACAGATCCTGTTATGAGCACGCCGCCACAGAGGCAAAGCCACTGCCTAGTTTTGGGGGGGTTAGTAGAGATCATCGGCATGCACACGGCCCTCCCACGTTAGCCAATAAGACGAGTGCAGTACAATCCTTGGCGCCAAGTGATTATACTTCGAAAGAGACAGCCCTTAAGCTTGAGATATTTGTCCATCTAAATGAGCATAACAGTCCCCTAATAATATTTCTTCTATTTAAATTCACATCGTCCCGTGCTAGTCTACGTTGGTAGGTATATACAAGGTCACAGGATAACCTCTCTCTAACAAGCACAGCACCGTAACCCTAGTCTCCCCATCAAGCTATCAATGACCAAACGCTACAACATAATATTCACAACCAACGCTTCATAAACACCATTAGAAAGGAACAAGCTAAAATTACTAACTACCCAACTACCCAGCTACGGACACCGCAAAACCCACAATGCCCCCGTCTACACCCTCAATCTACCCGTTCCCACGCCGAAAGAAAGCGCACACCACCACAAAAGCAAACCAACGCACAAACAAAAAAGCATAGAGACCTAGCTACACCCCTTTCTCCAGCGCCTCCACAATCCCACACCTCGCCTCCAACTCCCTCACCCACCCCTCCACCTCCTTCATATTCGCGCCCACAGCCACCCTACTCTCCCCCACCACCCCCTCCACCTTCTCCAGCGCCTCCCTCCACCTCCCCACCTCCGCCGCCATCTCCTCCTGCCGCCTCTCCACCCTCGCCAGCGCCTCCACCGCCCGCCCCGCATCCGCATGAATAGCCCTCAAGCTCCGCAGCCGGTCCAGCACCGCCGGCAGCATCGGCCCCATCCCCTCAATCGTCGGCAGCGCGCCATACAGCGCATTAATCTTTGCGTCCCTCTCCCCTCCCCCCCCTCCCCCACCCCCACCCACTCCCGCGCCCACACCGTCACCCGCGACCGCAGCAACCGCATCCTCACCCGCCGCAGCGTCCTCGGCAGCGCGCGCGTCGGCCGCGGCCTTAGCCGCTTTGCGCGCCTCGGCGAGCTTCTCGGCCTCCTGCGTGAGCTGGCGGACGCGGCGCGAGGCCGCGTCGAGCGACGAGGTGGACGACGAGGTCAGCACCGACATCTGCCGGGCGAGCTCGTCGAGCGTGGGGATGATGGAGGATGCGGGGAGGGGGCGGGAGGGGTCGGAGAGCGCTGAGGTGGGCATGCCGATGCATTTCTCGAGGACGGTGAGGCGCGTGTCGAAGTCGGCGGCTTTGGCGAGGGCGTGGGTGTGCTTGAAGGTGGGGGCGTAGGTGATTGTGTAGGAGGCTGTGTGGGCTGGGGTGGGGTCGGTGGTGGTGGTGGTGGTGGGTTCAGCGGTGGGTTCGGTGGTGGTGGTGGTGGTGGTGGTGGTAGGCTCAGGCGGGACACTGAGGCTCCCAACCAACTTCTTTGCCAGCTTCGCCTGCGCACCCCGTTCCTCAGGGCTCTGTATCTGAAGACTTTCCAGCGCATCACTCAGCTCCACAATCCCCGCCTTCACCTCCATCCTCCCCCCCCCCTCCTCCTCCCCCTCCTCCCCCTCATCACCCCCGCTCTCACCCCCGCTCGCAGCAGCCTCAGCCCGCACCTCCTCAATCTCCCGCCGCAGCCTGGCAACCCTCATGGCGAGCGTCTCCTCGCCGTACAGCTCCTCGCTGTCATACCCCTCCTCGTCGCCAGCCTCATCCTCGTATCCGCCACCGCCGCCGCCGCCACCAGCACCACCGCGGCGCCGCCGCCGCCGGCTCGACGCCCGGTACGACCGCCGCTTGCCGCTGATGCGGTCGGAGAAGTCGACGCCGCGCGCGTCGATCTCGGAGTGCTTGAAGCGGCCGCGGGCGGACGTGGGGTGCAGGTGCTCGGTGACGAGGCCGCTGCCGTCGACGGAGTCGTTTTCGTGGGAGGAGTCGTCGGGGATGCTGGTGGTGGTCTGGGCTCGCTGTTAGCTGTGGTTTTGGGGGGGGGGGGGGGGGGGGGGGCTTCTTTAGGGCGGGGGGGCTTCTTTAGGGCGGGGGGGCTTCTTTAGGGCGGGGGGGCACAAACGGGGAGGGTTGAGACGTCGTCGGTGAGGTCGGGGGTCTCGTAGATGTCCTGTGAGGAGTCCTGTTTTTTTTTTTTTTTTCCTGGTCAGCAGCTGGTCTGGTTTGGTCAATTTGCAGAGACAGGACTGCTCACAAGGTCTGGGAGTGCTGCGTACTTGGACGACATCGTTTCGTGCTGTGGTGGTGTGTTTGTGGTGGGGGAACAGCTTCGCGGTGTGTTGTGTGTGAGGTGAGGTGAGGTGAGGTGAGGTGAGGTGAGGTGGAGTTAAGGTTGTCTCGCGTGCCCTGCAGGGGTCAGTCAGCCGTCGATCCGAGTGCTGCTTTCTTGGCTGGCTGGGGCGTGTGGCGGGCGTGGCGGGCGTGGCTGGTGGGCGCACTGTTCGGACTGGCCGGGGGGGTGTCAATGATCGGTTAGTAGGAAATGCGCTGGTGGGCAATAATTGGTGAGCGTCAGGGGTGGGTGTGTGTGGGTGTGGGTGTGTGGGCGGGTGTGTGGGTTGTGACGGACAGGGGACCTGCATGTGGAGTGCTTGGCAGCGGGTCACGTCATGGTGTGTCACTCGCGTGTGGAGCCACTCTCAGCCACAGGGGTCGTCAGCGCCTACGTCTGAACCAGATGGATAAGATAACAGCTATCCATAAACACTCGGGCCGAATTGAAATAAATGGAACGCAGTTGATAGGGCACGCCTGCAGGAGCAACAACGACAGAAACCATCACGGAGTTTGTGTGTGATGAATTATACGTTGTAACACGAAGATGCGCGTTTAACAGATCACGATTTCCACTTTGCGTTAGGTTCCACTTATTTGAATTCGGCCTGACGGTCTATGGGATAGAGGTAAGTGCGAGGTCTTCGGAATTCATAATCGTCACTCGAATCGTAGATACATCAGCGCTGCTCTTCCACTAGGTAACAGAGGGATGACTAGGCCAATCACAAGTGACACATGTACTCTTGGCGCGAGTGACAAACCGTGATCATGAAAGACCATGGCCATCATCCGTTTTGGGCAAAAGGCCGTTCGTTCGGCCTTATACCCGCGTCGTACTCAAATACTCACGCAATATTGTGTCCCGATCAGGACGGCTGGCCGGACCTTCTTGTTGGTAAGGGGATCGTAAGGGGCTCCGCCCTAGTTCTATTACAGAATTAAAAACGCGCCAAGTACACAATTTACTATGGTATTAATAACGGTCCAGAAATAGAGTGCGTGTACAGAGATTGCGTTGTGAAAAAAAAAAAAAAAAATCGTTACAAGGCAGAATAATCGTACCGCGTCAATGATATTACGTCATCACCTCAGCTATCACTCGGAGGGGCGGCGGCTAACCAGTTGGGACATTGGCTATCATAGTCCATAGCTGGCATGAGGTTCAGGTAGGCACTAATAGACGGCCGCCTTTTCAAGCCAGTATGAGGGAAGATTAGAGAGCATATTCAAGACAAATAGCCAAATATGGGGATTCCAACGCCTCGTGCGACCAGCCGTATATTCGAATTACTAGGGTAGGGGCTTCTGGGTACCGTTACCGTCAAGGAGCTTAGTGAGTGACACGATGTGCATGTGTGGTGTTCTGTTCGAATTCTCAGGTCACTACGCATATATGAAGACTGAAGAGATAAACATAAGCGAGGATGGTGGATTAGAAGTATGGTAGTCTAGCTAGCTACATGTTAGATACATGTAGGTCCGGCCCTAGTGTGACACCGTGGTCTAGTTCTACTATATGACAGAGTGGCTGAACATCTGTCCGATACTCGACTCGGAGGGCCAAGGAGGGGTTAGGATAAATAGTTCACCGCCCAACCTCACTCATGACAAGCTGTTTCGGGCCCTTGCTGACCCAAAAGACCGGGCCAATTTGTATACAGTCGACTCTCCCTATAAGGGTATCTCTTATAAGGATAAACGCAGACAGATGCCCTACGCCTTCGTTCATTTTTCAACAGAGTAGAAATTAACCTATTTAGGCAGCCCCCGTTGCAATTCACCTAACCCCCATAATCACCCCGCGAATTCGAACCTCTTTGGTGTCCAATGTCACGCCCGCCACCCATTCCCCGGCCGACCTTCCTATAACTAGCTTTAGAACGATTTGTTCTCTTTTGGCAGCGTTACAGATCTAATCACAGTTAGTTTTACGCTGCTTATCCCCACGCTTTCTCTAGACCCTCTATTGCGAAAACCAGGAACGAACGAATTCAAGGGATCCCCTAGACTGCCACGATCAGACCCGCCGCAAATAGGGATCGCTGACCGCATATAGTAGGTAAGATGTGTTGAACTTCCAAGGCTATAGCTAGATACTCTCGCGGGGATCCGATGGCTATCAAAACTGCAAATCGCGACAAGAGATACCAAACATCTCCTGCCGGCCATAGACTTCATAATACCATACCTACCGTATACGGACATAAGGGATAAGAAGAAGAGGGGTAGGCAAAACAGAATTTGGGACTATTAATTTAATTGCTATGCTTACTACGATAGTATCTCTATCCCGAGATCGAGTGTCACTATAACGAGAATCTACTGTACAGCGCTGCGGTTTCACACTCTTGAACATGGGTAGTGCGGATTGACGGCTATAAGGCACGGGGGTTCGTTCACGTAGGACTAGGCCCCTGAGTACCAACCACCGTCACGCACATGCCGTATAATGAGTGATACGGGCAATCAAACTCGTGGAGTTCTTAACTTGGTTCTGGCATGTTTTCCCGTCGAATCTTCACGACAAGCCGCGTCTTTCTGGGGGGGGCTGGTTTCGAGTTGGTGTGTTCCACGAGGCACTGGCGCTCGAGGGAGCTCAAGGCATGGGGGAGGTTGGCGAGGCGAGCATGCTCGAGGCAAAAGTAGTACCCTCTTAATTGCTCGCCTCGAACTACTCGAGGCACGTTTAGGTAATCATGGAATTGGCGACATATATTCACTATGGTTGATATTATATTCCCGATAGTAACGTGTACATTACATTGGAAGTATTCCATATACCCGCATACCAGTATTACAACAAGAATTCTGACAGATCTAAATCTAGTAACTACCTGCCACGATCGAGCCAGTTCGAGCAGCCTCGTGGACCACACTATAAATTTAAAAGCGACCACCTATACGATGTGAAGTAGTTGAAGGGATACAACACCACCACAAGTCAACTAGTAGCGACAGTACGCAGCCAGCAGTAAGCCCCGAATTACTACGACCAACCAGCTGCAATGGGCTACAGGAGTCAAGCACCTTAATCACAAGCCATCACTCGCGCTGTTCAGGGGTGCTCGATTTGCCAAGAAACCAGCGAGTGAGAGGCGATGACTAGTAATCCGAGTGAGAGATGATGAAATAAATTGACAATTTTTTTTGGTTCGACACATAGACCGGTTCCCCCACCAGCGGGCGCCCCCCCCCCCCCCCCCCCCCCTTTTTCTTTCGCGAGTTTGGCTGTGTGGCGAAGGGTCTCAACCCACACCACACAGCCAAACACCTCTAGGACTCGCTGCTGGGGGAACCGGTCTACACACCATAATTCCTGATACCGTAAAAGACATAGACTCCTTCACTGGGGTACGGTCAGTACGGGGGTATGGTCAATTTTTAAATATACTCCAGAGTGATATATGATACGCAGGGAGCCCATCGAATACTTCTTTTGGTTCCTATTCAAAATCTTGGAATTGACCACACCCCCGTGTTGACATACCCCCGTGAAGGAGTCTAGATAGATAGATAGATAATTTGTTGATTTACCGTAAACGATATAAAACGTGACTCGAAAAAGACATAAAACGAGACTCGAAAAAGACATAAAACGAGACTCGAAAAAGACAACCCATACCGGCACAACCCCCCCCCCCCCCCCAAAAAAAAAACCCCCTTGACACCCATTAACCCACAAGGAAAAGCAAGACTACTACTCGTAGTCACGACAGGACGAGCAACTCTGACCCGCCCTCGTACACGTCTGGCACGTATACCCACTCAAGAACGTCTCCCATTCCGGATCTGGAACCACGCATTTACCAGCGCCGGTTCTAATGCACCTCGAGCAGGGGTAGGCCCTGTTGATAGTGTAGGCCCGGCGGCCTTCCACTTTGATCTCGCCGTTGAGAAACATCCCCTTGGTGACAGCTTCGCCGTACCCGGTTTCCATCGCGGCCCTGGCCCATCGCTCGGATGCCGTCTCGGGTGATGTTGGGTAGACGATGCCGGTGACTATACGGTTGGTGGGTGGACGTGGGGCGGGTGGATATGAGAGATCAATAGGTTCTTGTTTAGGTTCGCGTTTTGGTTCGTGTTTTGGTTCCTGTTTAGATTCGTGTTTTGGTTCGTGTTTAGGTACCTTCGTAGAGGCGGTAGTAGTAGGTCTCTTCGAAGAGGCAGTAGTAGCAGGTATCTTCGCAGAGGCGGTGGTAGCAGGTATCTTCGCTGAGGCAGTAGTGGGTCTCCTCGCAGAGGCAGTAGTAGGCCTCTTCGCAGAGGCAGTAGTAGGTCTCTTCGCAGAGGCAGTAGTAGGTCTCTTCGCAGAGGCAGTAGTATCAGATATCTCCGCGGAGGCGTTAGTAGGTGAAGGTGAAGGTGAAGAACTGATAAAAACCAATTAGTCAACTGATATAGATGAAACACGTGACTCGCATGTGTGTAGTCACTTTTGGAACAATGACGAAACTGGTTGAACGACAGCAGGGACTGTTGGTAGTCGAGCAGAGTGACACTCAGACTGATATCAAATTGATTCGTCGTTGCTCCAAAAGCGGCTGTAGTCTGCATACCTGTAATTGAATCTTTTCTTAAAGCGGCGCCGTTTTGCTTCGCGAGCGGCATCCAAGTGGTGGGAACCACGCTTCGAACCGGTCCGAGTGGTGGAACTAGAATTGGTGCCAGACTCGGCCCTAATTGCGAGACGGCCTGCGAAGTCTTGGTGTATGAGATTTGCGGGGACTTGGTATGGGCGGGCTCGGAGGTGCGTGGGACGGACTTCGAGGTCTTGGTCTATAAGCTCTCCTGGGATTTGGTATGGACGGGCGGGGCGGGCGGGGTGTGTGAACGTGTGGGAAAGCTGAGGCAGATCGCGGATAGTATTCGCGTCAAGCTGGCCTGTCCCAAGCAAGTAGCCACACAGAAAGCCACACTGGAATTTGGGATCATCAGTCACGTTGGTGCTGTCTGGATCCATTGTTTGTTACGCGTAGAGTGGTTGAAAACGTGAGGGTGCTGTAGAGGTGCGGTGTTCGTAGAAGTATTGTAGGTACTCGGATTATATACCTTGTGTAGCCGCCGTGCACAGCTGTGTAGCCGCTGAAAGTCAATCGAATGGTGGGGTACCTACATTTAGCTACCCTAGCTGTCCTGGAATATACATTGTGCCCGCATATAATCTGGAATATCTGCAGCTGACGCATATATGCGCAGGTATTCAAAAATTACATGTAAGTAGCAATAACTTGCAGTAGCAGTAATTATATACCGGGCTGACAACAATATCAATTGATCGTCAGGCAGAAAGACAGAACAAACATAAATCTCAAGCTCACTAAAAGGGATAGCTTAAGAAAAAACAACAAAAAACAACAAAAAACAAAAAGCAATTTTTGACAGAAAACTCCCTTCACTCCACTTGCAACGTAACAGTACACTAACTAACTTACAACTTTATGACACAACAAGCACACTACGCTCACCTCCCGTGTAGCACCAGTCGCTCCACCCCTAAGGTCCTTTACGATAACCATCGGGTTACTCCCGCTATCTGAGCGCACCGTGACTTCAAATTTCTCCTCGACCTCTTTCAATTGTTTCGCCGGGGTTGCCGTCTTGCCTCCCTTTCCCTTGCCCCCATTTTTCCCATTCGCTGGGGTTATTGGCGTCGCTGGGGCGGGGGAAACAGCTGCCCCCAAAAGCGACTTACGGCCACGACCCTTTTTCAATGTCGCTTCTTGTGTAGTGACAATTGTATCCTCGTCATTGGCCATAGGCTCAGGAGCAGAGGTGAGCGCCACTGTGGGCGACATGGGGTCCTGGCCGGCGATAAGGGCCTCGTTGATGTATTCCTGCACAGAGCTAACTATGCACTCCTCATGCAGCCAGTTCTTGCAATGTGTACACCCAAGCATCATCTTGTCGGGGTTATAGTAGCCATGGCACCTGCAATGTTCGCGGACCTCCTGGGTTGGATGTTAGCAACTATACACCGGGGGTTATTACTCAAGGAAAATAGGTATCTGCGAACGCACACCCATACTCTATATAGTCAGACTAAAATTCAAACCTTGCTTGTGTCCTTTTTGTTCATGAGACAAAATTTACAAGCTGTTTTTCTACTTGCGATTTTCGCTAGGGTACAAACTCTACAATACGACTCGACCACTCCTCGAAAAACCAGGGAATAATATCTTACCATTAAAGTTCCTGACGGAAAGTCGAACTTCTGTCTCCAGAATAGATCTGGCAAGTCCTCTTCGTCATCCAACTCTAGCCAATGCTTGACATTCGCCCTTCCAGAAACCGTCATCGCATCGATGATCTCCATATGGTTACTAGCAATTAGTTCCTTCTTCCCATGATATGGCGCTCTGCCACCTGGAAGCTCCTCGGGCCAGTACAGCCAATACACACGCAGATAAACATGTGCCTCGTCGATGGCTCGAATCTCAAGGACCCGGGCTACCCAGAATTTATGATCGTCCATATTTGTGATGTCAATTCCATGTGGAATGTTATCGTGATTGACGAAAATATATTCCTGGAGCGCAAAGCTCTCGGTTCCCACTATTTTCTACAGTCAGTCATCAATCACCACTACCCAGAACTGAAGAGTGAGCGACAGGCAAAAAAAAGTAAAGAAGGAAGAAAAAAAGTCATTGGTTCTTGAATGAAGGGAATTGCTCAACCCACCAACGAAATGTCGATACTTCTTCAAAGTATCCCATTGTTTCTTTGGATTGATGGTGAAAACAGTTGTAGGCATATCCTCGGGTACCGTCTGATCTAGTTCCTGTTTTGGCGGCGCTTCCCCAGATGTAACAGAGGACTTCTGGCGCTTTGCGGCAGCTTGCTTGGCCTTTTTGACTATCGCCTTCTTGATCGCGGGAGACTTGTATTCAATCTTGAATGGGCACTCTGAGAGTACCGCTACCGGAGCCTCTTCCATTTCGGTGTTGTCGGCAGCACTCGCAGCGTTATCGGAGGAGGTGCGTTTGCGTTTTCCAGCCATTGGAGGAATGGGTTCAAAGGCCCTGGTGTTTGATTGATGGGGGGGTAGAAGAATGGTCGAGAGAGGGGCGGTGGTGCTGGTGATGGAAGACGCGTTCTAACCGCGTGTGTGAGTGTGAGTGTAGGAGTTCGTTCGGGACGTGAGGGTGTGGGGAGCAAGATTCAAGTGACACCACCAAGAGATGAAGGAGATGGTGTCGGTGGAACGGTCTCGAAGGAAGGGATGAACGGGGGGGCGGTCCAGCGGAGTGCGTCAGTGTGGTGATGGGGTTTGTTTTGACGTCGTGGTTCTGGCTGGTTACGGCATGTACAGGGATCGTAGTGAAATACTACTGGCCGCCGTGAACGTTTTGTCCGCCTTCTGGCCCGAACCCAAGGCCTAGCAATACAAATCGAGTACCACACATATAGAATACATCTGATATTTAATTCGAGTTCATATTTAAAACGCACACGTTTGGACAATTTCGCCTAGGGTTGTTGTACCTACATACAATTGGTGTGCCAACCCATGTGTGTTTGCTAAGTTTTGGGTTGCGCAGGTTACATGTTGGTGCGCGTTATGCTGTCTAAGCATGCTCAGGCATCCCCGAAATCCCATTGAACACAACAAAACATCGAAACACGCAGATAGCAAAGCCCAATATTGACAAGAACTAGTAAAATTCGATATAAGTATCTCATGCACATTTATATATGATATATACATACTCAAAAAGAATTCCAGAACCCATATACAAACTCTAACTAGAGTGCACAATTAACTTATCTAATAAGTATAGATATACTGAACATTTAATGCGTATTTTAAAGGTTTTGATTCGCTAAGTTAGAGAATTTCTTTTTGAGATGTTTCCTTTTCAATTATTGTTTCTGCTGGTTTCTGTAGCTGATTCTAAGTGATCCAGTGATCCAGTGATCCGCACTATTGATATTGCATATTGATACTGGAAATTACTTTTGATGCTGGTAATTGCTTTTTGTTGATTTGGTAATTACCTTTGGTTGATTTGGTACTATTGACTGTCTGGACTTCTTTTCTGAATTATTTGTTTGGTCGAGTTCACAGGGCTTCCTATGCATTTGATCTTTGGGTTGGTTAAGCGACAGATGTCCAATTTCACGCTGTTCAATTTATATCCTCTCTACTCCGGCCTCTACAATAAATGGCAAAATTAGCCAATGTCGAAGAGCACTTTAACACCGGTCAAAATACAAAGCCAGTACATTTTATTTCGCCGTTCGAATTCAATTGGACAAGTTTCGCCATATATTTGCTTAGAAACGACTGTGTTCGGGGGGGCCGGGCCGGTCAAAGAGCTTATATAGTCGGATAGCTTAGCAAATTCTTGTGCTCTTATAAGCGTACAGTCGTTCACAGGGTGAGGACGAACACTAGGTGTAGACGAACAGGGATTTTTGGACAAATAGTAAACGATGTGAAAGATCGCTTTGGCAGCTTGGCTGTTTCTTGCCATATTAAGAACCCTAGTTCGTCTTCACCCAGTGTTCGTCCTCACCCCGTGAACGACTGTAGTAACATAATAGTAAAGACTATGAGATGATTTAAGTTGTGAAAGGAGAGAACCAAGGGGGCCATATCACATGCGGCTGTTGGCAGAACGCGGTGAGAGGGTGTTAGATTCCAACTAGTTGCTATTTCCTTAAGTTAGCCTTTGTGTGCTCGGAGCTATGGATGAGTCCCCCAAATTCATGCCTATCCGCTACAAAGTACTGTCTTATATGCATTATTTGGAATATAAATCGTTATATCGGTGAAGAAGAAGGAGAGATGGAATACTGCGGGGGTAAATGCGAGTCGATGTTACAGCAATCAGTTCTGTAATTATTAAACTAGAGCTCAACACAGACTTTGGTCTCACGTTAGCTAGCTAGGTGCTTATAGACTGCTGATAGAGATAGTTACAAGCTGACCCAAACTTGTACCCAATCCTTCCAGTTTTTTGTGTTCTCCGTCACAATTCGTAGTGATCGATCGTGATCGTATACTTTAGTGACCAGCTTAAGGGGTGGATATGGGAAGCTATCACCAGCCTCATCGTCAAGCACATTATCTGATCATAAGTTAGTATACAATTTATGAGGTATGAAGCCTGGGGCTACGCTTATAATAAGTGCTAGAAACCCAATTTTAAAAATATGAACTTGAATTATATGCACGAATTATCACTCGAAAATATGCTATAACAGGCTTGGCTTGGCTTGGCTTAATTAATACAGTCAGACAAGCCAACCTCCAATCTCCGATAAATCTATTGGGATCTGAAGGGTCTCATAAGACGGTCTATAAGAGCGTGAGGTAATCTCAGATCAACCTATAACTAAGAACTATTTCAACACAAGGTTTAAATTAATATTCGGAGCCAGGTCTCAATTCCAGTGAGATAGATGGCTCATCGATTCCTTGAAACATTATATAACCAGCAAGATGAAATAGGGGAGAGTTACTGTAGATAAGACAGCAAACATCCGGTCGAAAATCATTTTCTCTTGCCATTTCGCCTCTATTGCAAACGTCTAATCTGATTGGCGGGAAGTCTCTTGGCACTGGAAATGACCAATTCCACATTTCCAATATTGATCTACCGCATATTGAGAAGGCACTAAATTTTATCAATAATTCTGGGTTAGAAATTGTAACTTCCAACCAAGTGACGTCACAAAAGCGATAGGCTGCCGTCATACTGGATGAAACGGATACGTGTTTCTGCATCCTTTTAGTAGATCAAGAGAGGTGATTTGATTCGATGGCAGTTATGCATTGCACGTGTACAACAACAACAACCATATGTTGTGGCGTTTTAGAACACCCCGGAGACTTTGCTGACCTGGTAGATGCTCTACTAGTTGGCTAGTACACACGCGCCCATATTGCAGCTCTCTGCTCATTGTGAGCAGAAGAAACAGCGACGAACCTAGACGAGGAGTGGCTTTAGCACAGCCTCCCACAATTGGCCCATCGTAGCTGAAGAGGATTAAGTGATCGGTCAAAAATTCTCAAGTGTTCTATCCCTTTGCTGATGCTGGGGTAGTCATGATGATAATTACGTCGAACAACGCGGTTAAAGGGATTTTATGAGTTGGCCAACTGATGGAAGAATTAGGTGGATGATGATGTTGACGCTTTGACATCGTCAGCATCTTGACGCCCACGATGGTGTGGATTCATCAGACGTGGAGACGTCATCAAATTTTATTGCGTTGATACCGGTACCGGTACCTGGAGAGCCTTCTTCATAGATAATCACTCGCCACGTGGTCTCGGCGGACAGGCTTTCGGTCTTATTCTTTTCCCGCAACGGCAATGATTGGGTGTCAAAATACTAATTCCCGCCCGAGGACGTCAATGCACCAAGTACCTCTCTGCTGTTGCTAACTTTCTGGTCCGCCTTAGATGTTCGTTGTGTGAAACAGTTTCATCTTAATCTAGAGTAAGGCTCAGATTGAGAAGAGAGTAGGGGCAGGCCCGGATGTGGTTGAGATGGGATTTGGGGGGCTGTTATTGAAATATCGGTAGAAAGGAAGGGGAGTAACAAAGAGGGGTGCGTTAATGTCATAGTCGCTTAAAGACGGTGAAGGGGTGGGAGTACATACATGTCATTAGAGTAGACCGGTAGAATACATATGTTGATATGAAAACAAAAAATAACACCCCCTTACTTCATACATGTATTTTGGTACATGTACCTTCAGTTATTATGGTATAGAAATGCAACAACCCGCGAGACTCTAGCTAGCTCCATGCTGAGGAGCATTTGAATTATTGGGTCTGCCGCCCTCATATCTGACGGCTGACACCGTTGCCGTTTAGACTTAAATGCTACATGTACCTACATGTATGTATATCCGATCGATCGACCAGTAGTGTGCACTTAACGCGACAACACGTGAGTTGCTGGTACGCGATTGAGATGGGTACCTTAACACGTGCCACGGCACAAAGACAATGGAAAAGTCACGTTATTTACTCAAAAGAAAGGTTTCGTTGTTCCTGTTTTGAAATAAACTTCGGCAAACAAACAGCATTAACAAGGTTGGCTGTGATTTGATCCAGAAAGCTTAAAACTGACCCATTGACATTCTTCTCGACTGGCCCTGCCTTATGCGATGTGGGTTGCATATGAACAGTTCTTTGTATCGAGGTTTCAATACCATCTCCACGCCCTCCACATCCTCCGCGTCAATAATTTCCAACAAAAAGACATTTCTATTTTTTTTTTAAATTCCGCATCTCATGAACCAAACCACACATAATAGGTATGCTCTGTAAATTTACTACATGCAGGTACCACAGGCATTCAACCACGTCACATTTTTCTTCTTGTAATTCCACACATATATGCACAAAGGGTGTTAATAAGAAAGATAAGACCGCTAGTGAGCTTATTCTGCGGAAGCGGCAGCACCAGTAATAATCTCGACCAACTCTCCCGTAATGACAGCCTGTCGGGTACGGTTGAAGAGAATCTGGAATCTGTTGATCATGTCACCAGCGTTCTTGGATGCATTGTCCATGGCATTGCGACGAGCGGAGTTCTCGCAAGCGTGGCCTTCGGCAAGGGCCTATGTTGTTTTCATGTTCCGTTAGAGGTCATGTTGATGGAAAGGTCAGGGTGAACGATAGGCGCGAGAGGATAGGGCTTACCCAGTAAAGTGTGTTGGCCAAGGCAAACTCGCGGAGGTTGCTGAGCTGCTCGTCCTCAATCTCGAAAGAGGTAATGTTGGCTATTGATGACGTAAGCAGACGAATCAACGACGAACATTGAAAATGCATAAAAATCCGGACCGGGTAAAGCCGGAAGGGTAAATCTCAGAAGGAAGGCAACGGAAAATATCCACATAGTTTTGCGCTCTCGGATAACATAGTATTTTTACATCCGAAAATTCTTCATCATTGAATGGGAGATGACAGTCCGGGGAATAAGGGAATAAAGACTCACCAGAGGCCATGATGGCTTCCTCAGAGTAAGCTTCGATGGTGCTGGGCTCGTAAGAGATAGCAGACTTGAACGAGTTGTAAAGAACCTCGATGTTGTCATAAGTCTTTCCAAGCTGGAAGATCTGGTCGGCAATTGTCTGGGCCTCGACGAAACTCGGGATATCCTTGCCGACGTTCGCGAAACTCATAACAATGTTCTTGGCCGAAGATCTACCCAATTGCGCCTTAGATTTTTCTCCGAGAACGACGAGGTCGGTATCGGGGTTTTCGATGAGCTTTCTGCGAACAGCCTTGGTGAGACCGGAATGGATACCACCGCATAGGCCCTTGTCGGAAGAGCAAACGATGATGAGGTTCTTTCCGCCCTCCAAGGGCTTTGTCTCGGCATTGCTGAAGACCTTGTTGGAGGTCTCACCGTAGATACGAGAGTCACCCATGGCACGCTGAGCACGGGCAAGTTTTGTGGAGGCGACAATCTTCATGGTCTTTGTAATCTTCTCGATGTTTTTGATGGACTTGAGACGACCCTCGATTTCACGAAGGGTGGCATAGTTGTTGCTCAGGGCTGGCCTACGAACGGGACGACGATGCGAGGCGAGATGTTAGCGATGGTGATGGTGATGATGATGGGTGGTGATGATGATGGGTAGTGATGAAACAGCCGAGGAAGTGGGGGGGGGATATCAATTGAAATCCTTTACCTAGTAGAAGTGGCCGCTGCCTTCAAGAGAACAGGTCTGGCTGCTCGAGAAAACATCTTGAACGAAAAAAATGGATATACAGAAATTGAATGTGAGGGTCAGGGTTATGGAGGGGGTTGAGGGGGGAGAGTGGAGAGGGGGGTGGTTGTGGTGGTTCACTGCAGAGCGATGAATACTCTCTCGGAATGATGGATGGAGCGTGGGCGGATTTCCTTTTCCTAACGTGGGGATCTGGAACCAGCAGCAGGCGGCACACCAAGGAATCGGGGCTAGGTATGGTGGTTACCAAGGCCTTTTTTTCTTCAACTAGAGTAAAAATTAAGTCAGCAGCCAGGAAGATCACGCTTTAGCCAATGATATTTTTTGAACACTTACTCACCCGGCTTTAGCGGTTTTCGACTTCTGGTGTTCTTCTTTTTCTCGCACTCGATTGACAGCCCAGCACGATCCTTCTTCTTCTAACTTTCGCTGTTCGTCTCGCCTCCTCGCTCTCTGACTTTTTACCGACACACTTACTTCCCTTTCACCACTTTCGTCAGCCTTCGGTTCGCCCACACCTCAGCCTACATACCCGCCCTTGCACCGTGCTTTACTTGTTGCGTTCCAGCATCCAGAACAGTCCCAGCGTCCAGCGTGTCGGCATTTACTCTGTCAGGCTGCAAAATCCCACCGCCCTCCTTGCTTGCTGTTGACCTCTGCACTTTCTCGCGCGTCACTCCCTCTTCTCCATCTGCCTTTCTGTAGCTACCGCTGCTTGCTGCTGCTACTGCCATTACCTACACTGCCGTCACTCTCTGCGAGTCCTTCACAACACTCGCACTAACACACACTCACCACGCCGCTCAGTTCTCTCTAGCCTTTGGTGCTTAACAGATCAACCCGTCATCCCCAGCCTCCACCCTCCCTCTCCACCCTTTCTTCCTCTCGCCACACCCCCGCTAAAAAGCTGCACCCTCTTCTTGACCTTTGCAAACTCCAATTCCATCGTATTTTTCCCGCACGAAACATCAATACCTGCTTGTCATACATTGTATTGAACTCACGCCCCACCCCTGGACGGGCTTTAAAGGGCACTTCCTGTCTGCCGTCGAAGCCCTTTACCACATCCTGTACACCAACTTTCGCGTATTTCATACGCGCCTCTAGATCACTTAGATCTTCACTCACGTCCTTCGACATGTCTTCGTCAGAAGATGACGTTCCACTCGCCATGCTGAACGGCCGTCGCACTAACGGTAATTCCCACCCTTCTTTGTTAATTCTCTATTTTGCCAGCGAATTCTTGTACGACGGGACTTCTGGAATGCCGTTTCTTACTTTTTCTGCTCCTCTTCGAAACACATTTGTTCCCCAGAGCAACAGACTCTTATGAATTTCTATCATTTTCATTTTCAATCGTGTTTCCCGTTAACACTTGACTACTGCTTTCCTAGGCACATCCTCCGCGACCTCTGCATCGACCAACGGGAAAGGGCCTATTCTACCGGACAGAATCCCAAAATCTGTAGACAAAAAAGCTGACAAGGATTTTGATGCGATGGCTGTCGATTATCCCATGGGAGACCGGGCTGGTGTGCCAATTGTGAATGTTGCTGTTCGAGAGGAGTTAGACAATGGGAGGGCGAAAAGGAAGGGGAGAAAACCAGCAATTAAGGAGGAAAGCAGTGATGATAGCGATGCTCCACTGGTGAGTTTATCCCTGTCCGCCAGCGCCCACGAACCCTTCGCGGAGTCATGAGCCACTACACTTATTGTATAATCCAGTTAAATGTTACTAACTTCCCTCGATTAGACAAAACGCCGTAGAACAAGTAACGGCGTCAAAGCAAGTACGATAGTTGAGTCATCTGATGATGATGTACCCTTAGCTAAGAGGGCAGCAGCATCAAAAGCCCGCACGAATTCAACATCAAAGGCCGCCAACAAGAAGCCTGCTGCTGCCAAAGAAGAATCGTCGGATTCAGACACCCCTCTGGCCACGATGAAGCTTGCTAAGGAAAAAAGGAACATTGAAAACAAAGCTGCAGCAACTGCAAAGGAGATGAGAGCGGAGGATAAGAAGGCTGCTATCAAAGCAAACGGGATAAAGCGGAAGTCAGTTAAGAACGAAAGTGATAGCGATGTTCCGTTGAAGGCCAAGAGGAAACCAGTTGTAAAGAAGACGAATGGCGTCAAGCAAGAGTCTTCGGATGATGATGTTCCTTTGGCGAAGAAAGCCAAAGCTGTTTCCAAGAACGCAGCAACTGCCAAGGGGAAAGCGGTCGATAACAAAAAGGTGGTGGTTAAAGGAAAGGCAAAAGCTGCCAAGGAGGATACGCCTGCTAGCGCTGAGACTGCCGAGGACGAAGAGTATAAATGGTGGGAAAACCAAGCAGAAACGGATGGGACTCAAAAATGGACTACTTTGGAGCATAATGGAGTTCTTTTTCCACCAGCGTATGAGCCATTGCCAAAGAATGTCAAGTTGAAGTATGATGGAGTTCCCGTTACTTTGCCACTTGCCGCAGAGGAGGTTGTTGGATTTTTCGGACACATGTTAAATTCTACTCATGCTACAAATCCTACATTTACTGCAAATTTTTTTAAAGATTTCCAGAGAATTTTGAAGGAATCGGGGGGAGCCAAGGACACCACCGGCAAGGTTTGTTGTGTTCTTTTGTGGTAATAATTTTTACTGACACTTTTCACAGAAGGTCCTTATCAAGGAATTTGCAAAATGCGACTTTACTGATATGCATAATTATTTCGTTGCTGAAGCGGAGGCGAAAAAGAATTTAAGCTCGGCGGAGAAAAAAGCGATCAAAGCAGAGAAAGACAAAGCCGAGGAAAAGTACTTGCACTGTTTGCTCGATGGCCGGAAAGAAAAGGTCGGCAATTTTCGCATTGAACCCCCTGGGCTGTTTCGTGGTCGTGGAGAGCACCCAAAAACCGGTATGGTCAAACAGAGGGTTCAACCAGAACAAGTAACAATCAATATTGGCAAGGGAGTACCCGTACCCCCACCACCCCCAGGTCACAAGTGGGCCGATGTCATCCATGACAATACTGTCACCTGGTTGGCTACATGGAAAGAGAACATAAACGGCAACATTAAATACGTTATGTTGGCAGCCACAAGTAGCTTGAAGGGAATGAGCGACTTCAAGAAATTTGAGAAGGCGAGAGAACTTAAGGTACGGTTCATATATTTGAAAAGAGGTTAATCACATTCTTCACTAGAAATATTAACGAGAATATAAACAGAAACACATTGATCGGATCCGTGCCGACTATGGCCGTGATCTCAAGTCCGAACTCATGGCCGATCGCCAGCGTGCTACTGCGATGTATCTTATTGACAGACTTGCTCTCAGAGCTGGTAATGAGAAGGGCGAAGATGAAGCTGATACTGTTGGCTGTTGTTCACTCCGATTTGAGCATGTCACTTTGAAAGCACCCGACTTGGTAATTTTCGATTTCTTGGGTAAGGATTCCATCAGGTTTTACCAGGAAGTTCCTGTTATTCCTCAGGTATTTAAAAACATGAGGATCTTCAAAAAGGCGCCTAAGACCACTGGTGATATGATTTTTGACAGATTGGATGTAAGTCGCCCACACGTTTCTCACATCTTTATTCAATTCAATGCTAACAGTCTGGTAGACGAGTCAATTGAATAAACACCTTCAGAATTACATGCCAGGACTCTCAGCTAAGGTTTTTCGTACTTACAACGCCTCCTGGACAATGCAACAACAGTTGGCAAAAATTCCCAACGAGGGCTCTATTCATGATAAATATGCCGCTTATAACGAGGCTAATAAGGCAGTCGCTATTCTTTGCAATCATCAACGTACTGTTAGCGCAAGCCACGAGACCATGATGCTAAAAGCAGAAGAGAAGGTATGTTTGATATCAGTGAAGTTATCGGTATCCTTGTCCTGATCTTGGCTGATTCGTTATCTAGATCAAAGCTCTACGTTACCAGAAGCTGCGCTTAAAGAGACAAATTCTCTTTCTCAAGCCCGAGTTGAAGAAGAAAAGAGCTGCTTTCTTTAAACCGGACCCCGAGATTGACGACAAGAGTTGGATTCTGGAGCATCAGAAATTTCTTATTGAGCAAGAGAAGGAGAAAATTCGCAAGAAGTTTGAGAAGGAGAACGAGAAGGCTGTCGAGAATGGCGAGAAGGAGCAAAAGCCCAGCGAGTTAAAGGAACGACTTAAAGCTGTTAGTGAATTGGAGGCCGAATTCAAAGCAGAGAACAAGACTGGTGTCGTGGAACCAAAGACAAAGGGGGCTACGGTCGAAAAACTCGAATCTCAGATTGAGAAAATGGATGAGAAAATCCTGAAGCAGGAAACTGAGGCTAAAGTCCGTGAGGACAATAAGACCGTTGCGTTGGGAACTAGTAAGATTGTATGTTTGAACTCTATCAAAATTCCCTAGTTCTCCAGGGCGTATACTGACACATTCTTAGAATTACATTGATCCCCGATTGTCGGTCATGTTTTGCAAAAAATACGATGTACCTATCGAGAAGGTCTTCGCGAAAACTCTCCGTGAGAAGTTTAAGTGGGCCCTAGAATCGGCAGACGAGGACTGGGAGTTTTGAAGGACGACTGATGGGCTAAAAATATCTTTACCTATCAACTGGTTTAGATATTACTTCCGATAGAATATCAACAATAATTTTGGAAGATGAAAATACACTAAATGATAACGAAAATGAATCCGGTTATGGGTTGTAAGAGCATGAGGTGTGCGAAAGTCTCTGACACGGGTATCAATTTCTGGCTTGCTTCGAGACTTTCCCTATGAATCTTACATTGTTCCACTACACCTTTCTTCTTTCTTTCTTTTTGATTTATTGTGTTGTGCTAAGTTTGTATCTTCGCTTCTTTCCTGTAAACTTTGTCAATATGCCTCTTTTTATTTCTCTAACTTTCTTGAAGTGCGCTTGGATTCCGTTACTATTTTTGTAAACCTTGGCCTTACCTTTTTTTTTAAAAAAAATTTCGAAAGTTGACATGGCATACAGCAAGTTCGATAATTCCGGTTTTTACTCTGGTCTCGGAGAACGGGAATCACTTGGCTTGAGGAATTGTATGTCGGTGAAGCATTCGGGTTTCACTGGAAGTTATTCGTTGGACGGGATACTTTGGGTGGCAGTTCTTTCTTCCGGCAGTGATTTTCTTCTCTGTATCTTTAAACCCCTTCTGTACCTACTGTGGCTTGGAATGCCTTGCCTTCATTCTTTTCACGGAAAAACTTAAGAGTACTTTCTTTTTTCCTTCTCCTTGCTTTCTCATTTATCTCATTCGCTTTATGGGAGTACGAGAGGGATTTTCTTACATAGAACTGAGTTGTGTTGCAAGCCATCTTGGTGTTTTCCTTCGTTCGATTCTTGTTGTTTTGTATCGTGTTCGTGTCATGTAAAATAGGTTCTCTCTATCTCCTTAGTGTCAAGTAGAATGGATTTGGGTGGGTATATATCGGGAAAGGTAGGTGTAAATACAGTGGGGTTAGATTGTAAAGTACAGTTTGATAATTTCAAGCAATGGGGGTCCCGAGCTTTATGTATAAAACCAGCCGGAGAGCACTGGATTATATTTGACGATTGGCACGGATAACGTTCTCTAGATTTCATCTGGCGAAAGGTTTGTCGCTAGAAAATACGATTGTGTGTAAACCCACGGAGATCGTCTTTACATCCGTGAACAGTTGAATTTGGGTTGAATTTGGGGTTGAATTTAGACATTTTAACGCCACCGAAATGTTAACTACAGGCGCTTCAATGATGAGAAAATGTTAACACCCAAATCCAATCATGCGCCGCTGACCGGGCCCATAAGAAGACCCCTCTCTCAGAGGTTGCCACATGGACCTATAGGATCGATAGTGCTCACATGATTGGATTGTGTATAGGTTTTGCGCCCCCCCCGGGATACGGAGAAGAGTGCCCAATCCGCGTATAAATTCGAGCATCGATGGGTAGCTACAGTGATCTGGATTCTGGAGCCTCTGGCACGGGTAAGTACATAATGTGGGGGAGATTAATTAATGAATTAAACAAAAAAAAGAATGTGGGGGAGATTAGGTCCCGGTGGCATTAGGGTATGACCGAAGCCATAAGACTTCGTTGGTTTTATAAGAACGAGGCTCTATAAGTTCGTTTGGAATTCGTCAGTACTCCCAATGGTAATTGGCGGCTGTTGTCTGTATATCTATTGATAAATATTGTGTTACATATTTGTCGAGTGATCATCTATGTTTCTGCATTTGACCTTGTAACCGAAACCACAGGCGGTGCTTGGTTTGTGGATAAGCCAAATTTATACGTTCAGGGCCACACCATTACGGGCGGTTTGGACTAGATTGTACCACCCTCTTTTGTGATCAATATTTAATCTATGAAAATGGGGGAATGAACCCACTCCGAATGGGGAGCCTAATTAAAGTCTCGTCCAAATTTTCCTTAAGAAGGATCGTTTTCTCGAGGTGACAAAGTCATACCAGTACCCTGACTGCTCTTGAATTTACTTTGTCAAATATAGTTGGTTTGGAGGGGCTGCCTAGTCCTATTTTCAGAGGCGAGGCGCTTCTTTGTTATAGAGCCGACCTTCGACCGCATTGGCCATCGGGGAATATCTCTCAACCGATTAGACATTTGGGAGCTAGTTTAATATTCTGGGCGATACGGGAATGAAAGTTTTATGTCTGATCCCTTGTTTCGTTCGGGGATCTGCTATTCGGCTGGTCTGGTACACCGTTTCCCGTCGTCCTATGACGTGATAGTCACCAATGAGTATATGAAATATCCACCAACTCTTAGTTTATTCTCTAGCCTTTTAGGCCATTGCGAAAGATTTCGAATAGCCGTGATAATACTCTTGTATCAACTAACAAAATCCTCCTCCTATCTGGCGCTTTGAGGTTCTGTGTGATATATTTCCTGGTATCACCAATATTCTTCATGTTTTCGATAAAAGAGAGCCCCAACCGCGTCCATAAAGCTGGGAACTCTTCACATTGTTACCGAAAAAACATAAATGAGAACTCAAACACATCCTCCGAGGAGATGGGCCAGTTCATAGAAAATATCAGCTCGGCTGTCTTCCTCTGTCCCGGTTGGCACAGGATCAATTTTCTCTGCTATTCTCTCCTGTTAAGTACCAGCGTCTAAGCAATTCTGCCATCTCTAGACGGCGATTCTTATCCCAGTTACCTTATCCATATTACAACAGCCGTTATTGGGCGGAAGATGTCCCGGAAGCTTTGGATTGGTTCGAAAATTTCGGTACAATCGACGCCCTGCTCTGCTAATAAGTAGCTATGGGCTTCGTCGCACCTAAAGTTTGAACGACTCGCCCTATTTTATTTTGTTTCTCGGGATACGTATCTGCTGCATCAATCACCCCAATGGTAAGTAAAATCTTTTAATCATAAAGATTGACGATCAGATTTGGGGAAAGGATCTTTGTGGTTTGTGTGTATATCAGTGAGATGAAGTTTGTAGGCTGTATTAGTTTATGTATTTGTGACTGCCCCGCAAGCGCGGCCTCCCGGGCATCTGCTGTTAGATTGGCGGGGCCTGGCCATATTCATGTCCAGCCCATCTTCGCCTTGGGTTACAACAACTGCCCATACCTGTCCTCCTAACTGCATCATGTTTGAAATTAGTTTCAGCCCCAGGTTGAGTACCTTAACCTACACATGATGGATCCCATCCCTCCGCCCTGAAAAACCGCCCCACAAACCGAATACCTCGAGGCAGCCAGAGAAAGAAAGAAAGAAAAAAACAAGTACAAAAAACTGCAACTTGCCTAACAGCGGAGCCCTTGCTCGCCCGTCGATCTCTGAACAAGCTGTACCGGAAACGTCGAGTGATGGACGGTGAGTGAAGTGCAGGTAGGCCTCATATCGAAGTATGGTACACATAGCGCAATAATGGTGAGAAATGGTTCTGTTTTGCTGATAATGCGTCGAGTAGGTGGCATGGATGAGTTTGTTGATAATTTAATGATTTGAGGTACTGCAGAGAGGTCCTGGCGGAAGGTCGAACTCCCGTGTCCAGCCTAAGCTTGGCATGATGTCAAAGAAGAACAATAGAACTTTCGAAGTAGTGAATGTACTCACAGTGGTGTTGGATGTAGTATCTTCATGTCGAGGGGGGTCTCATTGTTTGTTCTGTCTTCGTGTTTTGTCTTCGTGTTCTGTCCTCGTGTTCTGTCCTCGTGTTCTGTCCTCGTGTTCTGTCCTCGTGTTCTGTCTTCGTGTTCTTCTCTCCCTAACTTCATATCAGCCAGGAAATCTATCTGTGTCATTAGCATGTCTGCCTTAACCCGGAAACGAGGGCTAATAATTTGACATTGAGTGTGATGATGATTTTGGGGTATGCAAACTAGACCTGGCGGTTATGTTTTCCTGGTAGATACCTGCAGATGCAGAATGGTGGTGGAAAGATCCATAACCCATAGATCACGTACGCATATGTCGTTGATCTAGCCGGGTCGCAGAAGTCGATCAATCAGCCAACGTCAACTAGATGAACAAGTAATCTGCCTATATTGATTGATCCATTGACCGATTCCTAGATATCTGCAGGTTTATCAGCCCACAATTCGTCATGTAGATGACCCACCAGGTGTGCTGATCAGCTCCGTACCTGCAGCACTCTCCCACTGCCATGTTTCGTTTGGATGGCCCGTGCAGCTGTAGCTATCATCATAACCCACCACCGTCATGATCACCCGCAACAAACCTTAAGTCCTCGCTCGCTCGTACCCACATATACGCTACCAACCCACTCCAACCCGTCTACATGGTTCTTGTTCTCCAACCGAGACGTACCATTATTTACCCCTGATCGACCCCCATCATCCCTCCCCTGCTGCATAAACTACGATTCATCAATCAGTATCACTGATCAGCCGCCGTGATTCCGTATATATTACAATGATGCGAAAATGTTTATTGATACTGATATATAGCCAATACTTACTTGAAGGCACTGGCAGCAGAGTAAGATGTAGATTGTACATGGCGCTTGCGTCCTGATTGAGGTCTCTGCGCCGTCCTGCATCGATGAAACGACTTTTACCCGCTGCAAGGGAGAGTAGTCTTCTCCATACTCTACTACGTACAAGCACAGTGCTATACCTACCAAGGTCCATGTACGCTCTCTCTTGCTGAGACATTGCTATAGAAATGAAATCACTACTACAATACCACACATCCATTCCTGGCTAGCCTGCCCCAAGCACTGATAACTACATGTAGCTGACTGATCAGATCTGTGTCACCCGAAGAATCTTTTTCTCGGCTGGCAGTTCAGCTCAGAGAAATGCTGCCGCGCTTCAATGCCGCGCGCGCGCCAATTATTGGTCGAAGGGAGGGGGCAGGTTTGAACCCTCTTGTACTTTGCCTACTTACTGGCTTATGCAAAGAGGGGAGGGGGGGATGTGGAAGGGCAAAGAAACGGCCAAAGAGTGCAGGCTGTAATGTGATAGGCTGGTGCTGTTGTTGGAGGAGGAGGAGCAGAGTTGGAAAGTTGGAGTAGTTAGAGAGGTAGATTGATACTCGTGATGTAGGTATTGGTAGGTACAGTACCGTGTTTAGTTGGAGTGGATATTCTGCTTGCACAGCTACCGGCAGTAGAGATCCCGCTTCGAGTGGCCGATGTGATACTCCACCTACACCTGTTGCCGTCCCGAGCCACCACCACAACCAACCCACAACCCACAACCACAAACCCCGGCCCGCTCTTCGTGCTTGCTTAGAGTGGACTAGACTACCAGATATCGAATGCTTGGTATGTAGCTTCGCTGGCCCTCCTCCTCCTCCACCTACTACTACTCCCACTCCTCCGCAGAACCACCACTACTCCCCCCAGCGCTGTGGTAGGAGAAAAGCCCCACCTATCCCTCCATCCCCCCCTCCTCCCTTTCGAATAAGTACCCTCGGATATCCGCCCATCTATCACTCCCCTGGTAATCTTCATCCTCAACGACTATCGTGATAATTTACATACTGCTTCTGCTACTGCTACCCACTCGCCCTACTTGCTCTTTGGTATTCATCGTGGTTACTGCTGCTCTGATAAATCCAGCTTGCATCTACCCAACTACCCAACTACCTACCCTCTCATCCTCTCCCCCGCAACTCAAATACCCACCAACTACCAACACATATACATAATCCGCGATGGCTTCAGAATCGAAACCCACTGTCCTGATCATTGGAGGCCTAGGTTAGTCTGCCACATCCTTTGATAGTCCTGTAGCAGTGGAAAGAGGAAGAAAGAGAAGAGAAGAAAACCAGTACCGTTATTTCGAACATCTGTCTGGCCATAATCATCATATTAACTCAATCGTAATTCTTCCTTCCAGGCTTCGTCGGACGCTACCTCGCCAAATACATCCACACTCACGACCTTGCCTCCGAGATCCGAATAGTAGACAAGCAGCTCCCCCAGCTCGCCTGGCTTGCCCCCGAGTTCGCCGAGGTCTGCACAGAGGAGCGGTTCTACCAGGGCGACATGTCACGCGAGCGTCCGTCCCCCCCCCCTCCATATCATCCTCCCCACAGCTAACACCTTCCTGCCAATAGACACATGTGAAAAAGTGCTTACCCGCGCCGACGGCACCACATACGACTACATTTTCAACTGCGGCGGAGACACCCGCCTCAGCCAGGACGACGAGATCTACAAGCAGCGAAACTTGAAGCTGTCGACAACGGCTGCGCGCGTCGCCGCGCGCAAGGGCACAAAGTGTTGGGTTGAGCTCAGCACCGGCGCCGTCTACAAGAGCGACCGGGAGCCAAGCAAGGAGACGGACAAGCTCAAGCCCTGGCTCAAGCTGGCGACATATAAGCTCGAGGCTGAGGAAGAGCTGGCGAAGATTGAGGGGTACGTATCTATGGGGTGATAGGGGATAGAGATGAACGGGCGGGAGTGCTGATTATCGGCGTGGTGGGATAATATAGGTTAAATCTGGTCATCCTGAGACTAGCAAATGTCTACGGCGAGTACGGAAGTAAGGTTATTGCGACGATGCTGTGCATGGCTCGCGTGTACTCGTATCTGGGCGAAGAGATGAAATGGCTGTGGACCAAGGACCTGCGTAGCCACACCGTGCACGTCACTGATGCTGCGCGGTCCGTCTGGACCGCAGCTGATTGGTACTGCAGTGGCAAGAAGAACTGGGACGAGTCATGGGGGAGCGTGCCGATATTCAATATCGTGGATCATGGGGATACTTGTAGCTTTACCCCCCCCCCCCCCCCCCCCCGCAGTTCTGGGCAGTGCGAGAAAATGACTGACAGCTGAAATCTAACGGACAAACAGCGCAGGGTGATCTCCAGAAATACATTTCAAAGATCTTCAGCATCAAGACTGGCTTCCATGGGACGATTGTGTCCTCGTTTGCGCGCATGAACCTTGGCTCCGCGGTAGATGAGGAGAACGATGAGGTGCTGCAGCCGTGGGGTGACCTGCTGAATGAGGCGGGGATTACGAGGCCCGGCCCGATCAACCCGTACCTGGAGAACGAGCTGGTGAAGGACGACGACTTCAGTCTCGATGGCAGCAGATTTGAGGCCGTTACGGGATTCAAGTACGATGTTCCAAAGGTCACGGAGGAGGGCCTACTACAGATCATCGAGAGCTATAAGAGACTCAATTGGTGGCCGCCAATTGATTTGCAAAAAGATGGATCGGCTTAAGCGGACTGAATGCCATAATTGGGGACTGGGTGTGTGGTAATGATCAAAAGTTTATGGTTTTTATGATTATTTTTACGGCGTGGAACCCGAGGAGGAGGATCCTCTCATCACAATATCTACCTACACAACCCCATTCCCAATATTCGGCACTATTTCGTGGATACAGAAAAACTCCCAGTATTAACCAATTTCTCTGGCATTCCAGGGATTAAAAAAGTGTGGGAGATTACTATAGCAGATCAATTTCCTTATCATTAATTTTTATTGAATTTTTTTTTTTTTTTCAGTCCGGGGTTTTCGCATCGGAGCGTGCATAACTATCTTGTATCTAGCCTTATCCTACATGCATAATACAAGCGTGATAAAGAGAGAAAAAAACGTCCATACATATCGTGGGTATGTGCACATAGCACGTAATCAATGGCCAGTACCGCCGTCCCCCCCCATGCAAGTAGAGTAGCTATTTCTCGGTTTCTACTTTCCGGCAACCCGATTAAACTCCGGCGGACCAGGGCCAACCCCAAATCGTACGGGTGGCTTTAGGTGCTTTCTATTATTGGACGCTCATGTGAACCGTGATAAGGAAAGTCTTTATTCTTAATGTGATTTGTTCCTTTGAAACAAGTTGTCAACTTTGTTTATCATCACACTTACTAGATGGAGTTATGGCAGATGCTTAAGACAAACCTTTGTCTGGTCGTGCAAATCACTGCCCCTGTGGCTTCTTTCTTGCAAAGTTTTTTCTCGAACCACACAGCTTGCAAGCCAGGGACTCTCATACCCAAAACGTCATACATAACGACTCCCTCGGTTGCGTAACGACACCGGAGAGGCCGGTGTGTAGAAAGAAAAAAAAGAAATAAAGAAAAATAACTGACGTGCGTTTCGCCACCCATCCTCGTGGGATAAATATTTTTTTTTTTATTTCCATGGTTCGGTTTCGTGTTTTCCAGAAGAATAGGAAAGTACAACCCCCTGAACTGCCCACTATATCTGTTGTGGCGGCTTACTTACTTTTACGAGGCTGATAAGTAATAAATAAACACCCTTCTCCCGGGGGAATAATAACGATAGTGGTGCCAGTTGGAAATCTAGGTAGTTCCGGAACCATTCGTATGCTAGCTAAGCTTTTCTCTCTCACGCTTTTTTCTTTTTACTTCTGCCTTTTCTCGCGTGTGCGCTCGATCCACATTAGAGGGTTTTGATAGTGACACAGGGGCCCACTGATTACTTGGGAATACTTTTATTCGACAGCAACATATGATTATGACTGTTGTGCTGCAATAATTCTTGGAGAAGAGAGAAAAACTCCTCGGCCCCTGAATCCATCCTTGCTGCAGGGACTGCTAACGTAATATGTCGCCGAGTACATATGTACCCTGAGTAGAATATCAAGAGCTCGTAATAGCTGTGTTTTAGGTATACCGGCAAATTGTGGAAGAAGAAAGAAGCAATGGTGAGGCGCGCATGCGTGTGTTCTATCTGTCTCACTGTACCTGGATCTTTCGATGGTTTCCTGGGATAATTCCAACGATCCTATGAGCATAAATGAGTACAAATGATACCCGTAGTCACTAAATACAACACCTGCGTTCATACAATATCAATCCTCAGGGGAAATTAAAATATGCAGATATCGGACAGCGAGATTGAAGTTTTAGTTGCGTCAATTAGTCAAGTTCAAACCATTCAACCAACTCCTCAGTCAGGCATGATTGTAGATCTCTTTGGCGTATTTGCATGGATTGTCGGTGAGAGAGAGAGGATTCATACTGGGCTGCAACGGGTATGAGTGATGGTTGATGACCCTCGCTTATAATTCTCCTTATATATACATATGCCCTTCATCCGAGGAGATCAATACATCACGTGCTAGGTAGTCTGCACGGAGTGGAAACCACTATTATCACTATCTGGGAATTCTAAAACTCGATGTTCATCTCCGCGGGCCGCGGAGGTAAGTATGTAAGAGTAACGGCCAAAGCAAACTTGAAGATTTGAGGTTCATCTTATGGGACTTATGCCCACATGTAAAGGTTCCCCGCCGGCTGTGGGAAAGGCAATGACAATCAAGACAGTCCCCGCATAAAGGCCACGCTTGATTGGTTCGATCATAGCTCCAATAAGAAAGGGGGGTTCCCATCCATGGGTTGGGTAAAGTACTAACGACCAACCGGGTTGCTGGGTGCAGTATTCGCCGGGGTTATTGTTAGTCATGGTGGATCACTCGACCATACGATCTAAATAGTTTTTAACAATCCTCTCTGTGGATTTTGAGACCTATCAAGGAAATAACTGAGACATAAGCGCAGAAACCGTTATGTGCGCCAGCTACTGTGTATGTGTCTCCAGTGAGAGGAACATTCTCAGACGATCTTACAATGTCAATCTTCGGTAGGCGGGAAGGAAAGAGTTGACTTACCTCGAGACAGCTGGATCGAGCAATCCGCATGGCTTCTGGTGTCGATGTTGGGTTTGTGTAATATTCGGCTGCTGTTTCGGAGCCGTTGCCGAAGACTGAACCCCTCCAAGAAAAAGGAGTGTCTCATACCATCCACGGCCTAATTGGGCCAGGAGACCGTAACTATGCTGGAATTGGGTTATAATTGTCAGACCCTCCATTCTTTGTCCTTTAAAGGAAGTGACGGGTTTTGCAAATGGGTTCGGGGATTCCGAATATCGTAGGGTTTACCGCATGCTCTGGGCGTTTGGTGGTGTGCTTATTAACGCCCAATATATGTTTTAGCACTTTCCTCAAGCTAGTCGGGGGTGGTGCCGAAAGTCATCGTAAACCCTAAGGAACCCGTGGCAGTAATGGAGCTCCGTCTGATGAAATATTATTGGCTCATGTTCCTCGTATTGTTCGGATATGTCATCAAGAAACTGTCCCAGGTTTAAAATACAGCTCAAACGACCAGTGCTTACATGCAGCGGTGCCAGAGCCCCCATTTAGCATGTTCCATCGTGATCGCTGCTAGGCAGGCGGAACTGATTGTGGGGTTGTATTCAGTGCATGAAGGGATCAGGTAGCATGTGCGAGGTGTTGGTCAGCAAGGGATTGAAGGATGGAAGAGTAGATGATGGTTGATGCACGGATTATGGATGATGTGGGCGGGAATGCAAGATCAAACGCGTAAATTACGGTCCTGCCAGTTCTTTCCTTTCCTTTCATCACTCCACCCCCACACCTCATTACCGCAATCACCTTCTCCGCATGTACTCACGCTTCTCGTTTAAACTGATTTACGAGAGACTATTGTTAAGACCCTCTTACTTTCCGTTATTTACCTAAAAAGTGAATGACCGTCCACTAGTTACACCCGAAGCACATGTACATGTAGTTATAATGCTAGACTCGTACATTCAACTAAAAGAGGGAGGAGCGTGACAATGTTACCAATAATTTCACATGATATACAGAGAATTTAGATGTTGCGGAGTTTGACGGCATGGACGGCATCAGATGCTAGTTTATGAGAAAAATGGTAGGGTTTATATGTGAATATATTGAGATATATGATCCGACAGGAAGAAGATAAGAGATTTTTATCGTAGGAACCTTGATACAAATTGGGCCCTAACACAATTTTTTTTTGGTTACAATATGTACAGATACCCGCGGCGGCCGCCAAAAGCTTTGTGGATTATATTTATGGCACAGAGAAAATGAAGTATACATGTAGTTCGGATATGTCTAATCTATCCTGGACCCGGTTATTGAATATATGTACATTATCAGCTCTATTGATTGGATTCCGACGCGAGTACTACAGGATATAGTTTTTGAATCTAAGTAATGTCCCGGAAGACTAATCATATTGAGATTCACCACCCATCACTCGGCCCATATCACCGATCGCCAATCTTCCAACATAGTGCAATTCACGCACAAGTACTCCCTAAAGCTTGTATTTTGGGCAAAGTACTACATGTACATTAGAAAGATGCATGCAGCACTTAAAAGAACAGGTTGTAAGGTGGTGACACTGCGTATGTGTGCCTCATTGTGTCGCAGCGCTGATGACGATGTACATAGCTATTTTTCCCTGTTTTTCTTCATTTCCTACCAACTTCGTACGTAGCTTGATAATTCACTTCATATATGTAGCAGCTTCTTTGAGGTGTGCGTTATTCACTGATTAGGTCCGGTTTCTCCTTACTATTTTTCGTACATCTCTCCTGGAGGAGCGACTTCAAGATACATCATTCTGCTACAGATACAAGCTTCATCTATATTTTATCACCATATATCTTCATAATCTGGCAACCATCACCGCATCGAGGTTCTTCTCTCTCATGTTTCAAAAACCTTTCTCCTGTAATTTATCCCATTGCTACAAGTAATTTCGCCACCCGCTTCAAACTACCACATGTCTTCATATGTATTATCTACACCCGAGTCACATCGAAATTCTAAGGGACTTGAGGGTTCCGAATACCTCGCTCAAGAGTGCATACACCTATCAATAGACAAGATCCTGCAGGTACCCGAGTATTGACCCTTGTGATTACACGCCGCATGAGATCATAGTAAGCACGTGTGTAATCCTCGGAACCACGTTAGTGAGGGGGAAAAGGCAGCAAGTACTCAAATTTTATTACTACACAAAAGAAATACATTTTTTTTCAAACAACTTACACACCATTAATGCATCTACCCTAGCCAGATAACCGTCCCCGCTGCCAGCACAAGCACCGCAGCAAGCTCACCCCCACGAAACATGTAGCTCTTGACCCCAGCGCTGTTCAATTCCGGAACAGGAGTGTAGATGGCCACTCCGTTCGGCCCCAGGATATCCGTCTCGGTCTCGGCGTTAGTTTTGTTTGCTTCAAACGTGTTGTTCAGCCCATAGCAGTTTCCGACAGTCGTCTCCGGCCCTCCCATCCACCCACCCTCAATGCCCGAGAAGATGTTTGCAATCGCCTGATTATGGCGCTCTTTGAACCATGTCATACCAATTCCCGGGTCTCCATAGATGCATGCTCTGGTTTTCCAGACCACAGAAGAGAGGAGACCACCGTCACAGACAGGATAGACGTTGATGGACTGCTGGTAGTATACAACATCGAACCTGCCAGTTGGTTTAAACGGATCCGAAGACAGTTCCCAACGGAGCATGAACGAGTCTGCGGTGCTGCTGTTTAGGAGGAGATATTCCGAGAGAGTATTGTTGCCGCCGTTGAAGACAATGGTGCGAGTTGGAGGTGTGAATGTGAAGTTGTCAGGCGCAAACAGAATATTGGGCCCTGTAGTGGGATATTAGTGGGGTCCAGGGAAGGGCAGGAGTGCGGGAAAAGGGGGGGGGGGGGGGGGCTTACAGCTTTGAGAGTAAAAGTCCCCAAAATGAGGGTAGATGTTGGCGGACACGGTAGTCACTATGAACTTTGTGCTCTCCTCCCCATAGAGTGAGTTCAGCGGACAGTTCACTTTGGGCTCAGGAGCGGTGGCATCCTGCGAGATAGCTTTAGCTACAAAGAGGAGGAACGATGCGATGATCGAGAACTTCATCGTGTCTGCTTTCTGCGGCTGTGCTCGATGGTTGATATTTTTTGGCAGATTGTGGGTTGTGGATGTGTGGATAAGTTTGGAGCTAGGGATGGGGTTTCGAAAGCCCAACTACAGCCACAGATGGATTCAGTGAATGTGCTGGGTGTGAGGGGAAAGAGAAAGTTTGTTTCAGCCAGCTAGCTCCATATATCAGGTCGTTAATTAAAAGTTTATATTATATGTTCCTCCCGTCTGAGGTGGCTCTCAGGCAACTATCCGCGGTTGGCCCTCCTCTTGCTAGATCGCCGTTTAATGTACCACGGGCTGCATGTGTGGGCAGGCAGACCCAGACTGCTGAAGCAGCGGGTGAATGGTTGGCTGGCCAGCTAAGCCGGTGATTCAATGGGCTTAGTGGCACGATATATATGGTATACAGCGGACAGTACTGGACTGCATAGGACTGGTCAATTGCGTCGTCAGCCAGCGGCCAACGAGGATGATCATGAAGGGTCCCGCCCGTACTATACTGTGTCATGCCCACGAGGGATCGAGAATACATGGGGGCCGGAGAGAGACATCAATCTGCTGCCGCCATAGAATTGATGCACATGTAGTGGCATCCAACGTTCCGTTCCGTTTCAATGCCAGCGTATCGACCCCCTTTCATCCTTTCATTCCTGTTTTTCTTTTTGCGGCCGCACCGGCGAGATCTCGAGAATGTGCCGGCCCGCAAGCAAAGCAGGAAAGCAGGCAAGCAAGAAGGCAAGTAATGTCACTCGATGCATGCAGGGTCATGAACTGTCATTCGGACAGGTTGCCGTCCACCAACCAACTGACGCTATAACGTCATTTCTGCTGTGGGCTGTGGGTATGGTATGGTATGGTATGGTATGGTATAGTTGTGGTTACATACAGATTGCTGTGGCGAGACTTGCGCGGGAGGGTGGGGGTAACGTGGTGCAGCGTCAATGATACACTTAGCAGGATATCTTATTAGGGGGGAGAGGGTGGGTTGATATAGTCTCGTCTTTGCAGGGAGGGGATGAAAGGGGGAGGGATGTGTTTCTGGGGGGATGTACAGGAGTAGAGAAGAGAGAAGGGAGGAGGAAGAAGAAGAAGGAAAAAAGAGAAGAATCGGTGAAACAAAAACTCCATATCAACAATTGCTATTCACTATATACAAAAAAACGGTCCTACCAGCCTCACCGCAGCAAACCTACCACCACCCCTTCTTTTCCTTCGCCGGCGTCTCCACCACCGCCACCGCTGTCTCCGGCCCCATCTCTCCCTTCTCCGCCGTCTTCTCCCTCTCCGCCGCTTCCACCAACGCCGCCGCCTCCTCCTCCGCCTTCCTAATCTGCTCTTCCACCCAATCCCCCTTCGCCTCCTGTACCACCGGCGCCACCGGCTCCCTACCACTCTTCTTCACCCCCCACCCTCCAAACCCTCCCTCATTACCCGTCTTCTCCAGCCCATGCGCCTTCCTATACTCGCCCCTCAACTCCACATCCTCCACCTTCCTCCGGCGCATCTCCGCCACGCGCCGGCTTTGGTCCTCCGTATGCTCGCGCACGGCCACCAGAAACAACCGCATGCTCTCGTAGGGGTGCAACCACTCCCAGCGCACATTGGCCGCGAACGGCGACGTCTTCAGAAAGTTGCGAATGGACACGGTGGCCGCGAGCGTGATGAGGATTCCCATAGAGATGTAGAAGTGTAGCACGCGGGAGGTGAGGAGTGTGTGCGCGAGCGTGTTGGGCGGCGGCATGGTGTTTGGGTAGCGGCGTGTGGGGTCGCGGGGCGGTTGCGGGGGGCCCGGGTAGTTTAGGGGGTCGCGGGAGCGCGGGGCGGAGGGGTGCGAGGGGTGTGTGTATTTTTTTGGTTTGGCAAGGACTTTGGGGGGCGTGGAGGCGTGGCGGCGGAGGGGGAGGGTGGTGGTGGGGAGGGAGGGGACCCGCAGGAGGGGCCGGCGGAGGAGGCGGAGGGAGGCGGACATGGTGGTGGTCTGGGGGTTGTCAGTTGGGGTTGAAGGTATGGAGGGAGGCGTGTGTAGTCCTTACTTGTCTGTCTGCGTGTCTGTGCTGCTGTGGTGCTCTGTGATGCTCTGTGAATGACCGCAATCGCAATCGCAATTGCTCCCGCAGCCGGTGGGGGTGAGGATATGCGGTGGGATTTATCTACCGCTGCCAAGAAACCAAAGAGCCCCACCATCAAGGGCTGTGAGCTACGCCGGCATGACGGGAAATTCGCCTGGTTCTAGGATATCACCAAAGCCAGTGCCCTTCAAATCGTTTTAAATCGGATCACTTCTGGGTTCTGGAATATCCAGCGAACTTAATATCTGGTGGTGTACTCTAGTTATTGCCGCCCAACCAACTAACCCTAGCCCTATTATCTAGTCTTGGATCATAAGCTGTCACTCGACTTCAATCTGAGGTACGCCGGGGGTCTAGTAAGCTTCCGCGGTCGAGGGCGGGGATTCTAGTTGCTCCAGACCTCAGAGTCAAGCTTCAGATATGAGCCGATCATGTGTAGGCCCAAACCGTAGGAGCACAGCACAGCACCGCCGAGGGGCGTAAATGTAGTCAAACCGATCACTTCACGGTGCCGAGTCTATCACCGCTCTATACATAGAGTTGCGCATATAAATTTGAATGGAGCCTAACTCCTAGTCCACCACGCTGGATTTAAACCGGTTTCTAGACACCCTAACTTCTAGATGTTTTCAAGGCTACGAAAGTGAAGGGAGTTCATCGGGGTCCGTGTTCACGTCAACGACAATTCAGTGTTGAAGAGGCTGGTTAACACCTCTTGTGGATGGCATTGAACATCGGGGTGTAGAAAAGGCTTGATACGTTATGCTAGTATAGTATTGAAAGCACTATCTCGGCCAAATGAGGTGCCCATCTATGATAACCATCACAAACGGCCATTCCACATGAAGATCGACCCCTCATAATCACTTTGTTGTATATGTATCGGGTGTGCCATATCAGAAATTCGGTATTCATCCAACCCCAAACCGACGTGATTATTGGCGTGGCACCTAAAGATGGCGGTGATGCTCACTGTAATGTCAGAGACATGTATCATCAGTATTCCGATATCGAGTGTAAGTAAAGGGCGGGCGATAGACACCACACAATCTAGCTCGGCGCTCTCAGAAGGCCTAAGATACATCCTCCTAAGGTACTCAAGCCCGGAGCCGGATCCTATAATCCTTTGTCTGGTTGTCTTTCCGATAGTAGATCCCGCCCTGTCTTCTTGATGGCTGGGCTGTATATGTGTGGCGTGAACTATCCAGTCTCCGGTAACAGAGCTTATGGGGCGGATGTTAGAGGTTGCTGTAGCATACATGTACATAGTAAGAGAGAGACATACAGTATGGCTGCTATGCAGTACCTGGTCTCGTGACCAACTGTTGATTGCGAAGAATGAGACCAACTACTGGGCTTGCGATTGTTTATGTCGATCTGATGGCTGGCCGTCAATCGTTGGTGCAAACGTAACTGGATCAGCAGAATCACGAACTATCACTCGCGGAAGTTGCAGCTTTGTCTTATCCCTGAAAGATGGTCGTTTAGGTTGGGTGTGGTAATATACCAGGAAGCCCAGCCCGGAAAGTGAGGGCTAGTGTATATGTATGTAGGAGTTACTTGAATCGTTTATGTTTGATCATGAGATCGTTGGAGGAGGTTTGCGTCAAATCTATCCTTTTTATACCAGCTTACATGTAGCTTCTATAGTTTCTGACAATATGTGGTCATCTAGAGTAGTTGTGACCACCTATCTATCTAGCATCCATCTACTGCAGCTGTCTCTTTTGACTTATGTACATACCCCGAAGTACTCGTCTCTTATAAATACTAACGGGCATTCTGCATGCACATAACTTTTGTCGTTCCGGGGCTGGGCTTGGCGCATAGTCGATCACTCGGTCACAGACAATTAAGATCGAGACTGAATTACATGTATACGTACTTACTCTCTCTCTATCACCGTGGCCATTGCCTTGAATACCTCAGTTGTTGGCTTTCTACAATCGATCGCACTTTTAGCATCTCTGACTATATGTCTTTTCGAGTATTGCTGAGGTCTGTCGCTCAACGGTTATCAAAATCTGCAGCTGTCTTGCGTGGGGATTAACAGTACTCGTTAGTGCTCGACCTCATCTGGGAAGCGCCTCTACCTGCCACCACATACTGTACAAGATTCGGACTTTTGGCCCAGGCGGTTGGTGCCGAGCTGTGAACGGTCTCTGTGTTTCCCGGGTCTAGATACCTCTCCGATCGAATAGTGAAGGTGAGAACCTAGATGTGTAGGATTCGGGAGAGTCAAGAGAACGCGAATTGTAGTACTCACTAAGTCATTTAGGTATGGTGCGCACACTCTTAAAGGTGATGGGGTGGCATACGGAAGATACAGAAGTGGAACAATTGTGGCTGCAATATGGCCTCATGGGCCAATAAGAGGGCCCATTTCTAGCCTTCTGCTGCATCACTGCCATGGCCTGATCAGGTTTGCTTCTTTAAGGGTATAAATGGGTATAATACTGTTCCACTTTGTTTAGTCTTGGCGCTTTTTACATACTAAAATACCGAATTTCAAGCTTGAATAACTTTTTAACCAGGAGAGATATCAAAAATCTGGTTGGTAAAGTTCTTCTTCATCACTAGTACTTCAATTTTACCAACCGGATTTTTCATAATTTGTTTCGTTGGAAAGTTATTCAACCTCGACCTCGCCCCAATTTTTTGACTACCTTTATGATTGGGCGCACCATACATAGATCACAGGACAATATGATGGACCTAGATGAGATACGTTCCTGAACAACGAGCATTGTTCTTCCCAGTAAAACTGTCATAAGACTGTTTCTTTTAGTCTTACAAAAGCAATCAAGTACGTTTGGCCTCTGGACGTTTACATGCGTTCTTGAGCTTAGTACCTAGATCTAAAAACGTACAATTACAGTACCACACGATCTTCCAAAATCGATCACAGTTTTATTTGTCAAAATGCCTCCCCGTTTATCCAACCTCGCCATTTAAGCATTCTATATGGCCCCGAACATATATTTCATCGATAGTATGTATTCATCTCTGAATCCACACCCGGCTCCATGTCAGCACATCCTGGTTCGGTCAAATAGGTGTATATACGGGGGTTACCTACATGTACTGAGAATCGAGGATAGGAAGTACAGGGGCTTCGTCTTGCTGTATGAGTTCATCCCCCGTCAAATCTTTCATCTCTGCTACCAATATTGCCTCTATTGAGTCATGCCCCTCGGAAATTGCTATTTCTAGTGCTGTTTTCCCGAACATGATATGATTGTCTCTTTTTGTAATATTACTGAATAGTAGACGTGTACTAGTACTCCTTACTGATATATCGGCACCTCTCTCCAACATCAACCTCACAATATCTTCCCAATCACTAAATGCAGCCCAGTGAAGTGCTGTGCTGCCCTCCCTATTTTGGGACGACAAGTCATACCCTTTTTCGATTAACATCCTTGCAATCCCGCGGTAACCAAATTCTATGGCATCAATCAAGAGGGAATCGGGCCGAAGTGGGAGATCGGCGAAGTTGATACGCTGAATCAGTAACTCGACAACTTTTTCATGGCCAGTCAAGATTGCCGATTCGAACGGGGACCAGCATGAATCAGATCCCCCAGTCGGGTCGACGCCATTTTCAATCAGTAGTTGCATTAACGCGCAGTGTCCGTTGCTAGCAGCTAGACCGGCTACTGTTGTTCCATAAAAATCTTGGTCAAAGATGTTTGCTCCATGATCAATCAAGATGCGTGCAATTTCGTCATTTCCCCGAAGTGCCGCAATCATTAATGGTGAACGCCCATTATCATTCAGGGCCATGATAGAAACAGCCTTTTTATTTAATAAAAATTTGGCCATTTCCTTACTTTCTGCCATTGCGACATAGTGTAATACCGTGTTGCCGTCACCGTCACAAACCGAGATATTGTGACCATTATCTAACAACATTTGGAATGCTAGACAGTGTCCGAGTTTAGCTGCCATTTGCAATGGGGATACTTCTTCGTGAAGAGTATAATATAAGTAGGATAAACTGTGACCCTGCTTTTCAAGATGATAAACGAGTGCATCTGCCGTCAAATTCTCTTCACAAGAGCGTAGGTGGGAATACAAGTATCTGGACGCATATCCAAGGAAAGGATATATTAGTCGAAGCTTATACGGAGAAACGGGGTCTTCATTGCAATTGGCGGTAAAAACATCAAAGGACAAGTAGGTGATACAAGTCAGCGCGGTTGTTAGATCTGAGTCTTCTGGAATAATGCGATTATTCACAAGGTATTCCTGGACTGTATAGTGAACAAAACGAACATTCTCGCTTTCATCTACTGTTACTAACCCCCCACAGATATCAAGTATGACGTCCTTATCTGGTAAGTTGAGCTCGTCAAGCTCATATGTTTCTGGTTCCACAGATATCGCCGTTTGCAATTCATTAAGCCGCAATATCCGCCGAGCTTTGATAATCCAAGAAAGAATCGACAATGCTAATTCCATATTGCTCTGTGGCTGTCCACGAATGAAATTCACTATCCGTTCGTAGGTAGGGTCAAGTGGGTTCTTCTTTGGGGCCATTTTGAGAGATGCGAGTGCCTTTAACACTTGTTTCGCGGAGACCTGCTGGCAGATAAATTCAACGTGAAAACGGACAAGCAGAAACCTATTAATGCAATTAAAGCCCATCGTGGATATCTGGGATATAATCTACTTACATTCCATTTGCAAAACCAACTATATCATCGACAATCCTATCTTGTAACCCCGCTTGTCGAACAAGGCGCCTTGCTCGTGTATTTCCCTCGATCTTCTGATTAATAAAGAGCCTGATATCCTGGTCTCTTGCGGAAATTATGATTTTTTTGACGTTACGAAAGGACTCTTGGATATCTTCAGGATGCGGACGACTAGTCAGGAACATATTGAACCCGTCCTGTCCAAGACGATGAAACAATGGAAGAAGAATAATTCTTTGCTCTTGAGCACATTCATCCAATGCATCAACGATAATAAAGACCTGGGCAAAGTTCTTTGAAACTGCACGAAGAAGGGCGTTTAACTGATCTAAACTCGGCCTTTTCGCCTCTTTGACCAATTCTTTGTAAAGCTTGTCGACCTCCGAGGGAAGCTTCGGCAATTTACAGGTCAATTGTTTTACAAGGCTGGCGAGAAACTGAGTGGGCCCTTGGCACTGTTCTTTAAAGTTGAAGTAGAAATATGTGACCCCAAACCTCTCGGTTGAGGCCCGGACCTCTAAGTAGTCAATTACCACAGAGCTTTTGTATTTGTCAGTTGCGAATGGAGAAAGGTGTACTGGGATTGATCTACCTTAAAAATGTTTTCCCGGCCCCGGCTATTAAAATATGGCGACTGTCAGTATATGCATCGTGGAAGCTAAAGTACCGATGGGTATCTTGTTCAATGGAGACATTGCAATGCAGCCCACGAGAAATAGTGGCTTTAACTTTATGGCCTTGCCTCGTGGTGTCACCCCAATCTCTCTCTGAGGCGTCTAGAGACTACTAAGTGGCGATAATTCTTTCAGATAATACACCAATACCCAAGTCTAGTCCATTAAATCACCAAACTTGGTTACCAATCTATCAATTTGAATAAAAGTACCTACACTTAGTGGTCTAGAGAACCTCTCTGATTTAACACTACTACATATTTAATATCATAAAAAAATGATATCGTGAATATGGCAGTACTTGTAGCATTGTGTCCATTGAAGAAAGCTCCATCATTCATGAAAGGAATGGGGTTCTAGACATACGAATACCATATCCACAAAGTAAGCTGGAACCTGGTTGCTTTTTGGCCCATTCTCGGAAACTCGGTTCTTCCAAAAGCCATGTACCAGTCCCTTTTTGCCTTTCGTTGCAAATCTCGAGGTGTGTCCTATCAAAATCTTCTGAGTAGAGCCATGCCAAGACATCCCTTCGATCTTCGTCTATTATTTTCGAATGGTTAGCCAGAAATTCTCCTCGCTGTGTACGTGACGTGAGTAGATGTCTCAACCAGCTTGAATTGTGTCGTGTTTATTAGCCCAAGAGTTCAAGGTTTCTGATATTTTTCGAATCCTCTGGACGGCGAGATCAGTCTTTTGGACATGATGTATTTCTTGTGTCAAAGACCTAGGTCTTAAGTTAGAAATATTGACAAAGGGTATAGTGTTTGAGTTTTGAATCACATGTTGTCAGTCTCTAAAGCGAGCATGAGTAGACTTTTTTGCCTTTCGATTCTTGTAATATGTTGCATCGTTTCTGCCTCTTTCAATGGCCATTTTATGCTATTAAGAACCCCTTTAAACCCATTCTTGGGCTCTATCTTTGCAAGAAGAGCCTTCAATTCGGATTCGCATTTTTGGAGGGGGCCATCGCTGCTATTTAGTGTTTGTAGCATAGAGAACTGCGGGTTTGCGTCCACGTATTTTTGAAGGGCAAAGAGAACCAGGTTCAGTATGCTTAGCTCCCTAGAAAGATCATGAAGATCGTTTGCGGCTCGTTTCACACCGCTAATATACGTGTACCCTATTGCTGTCACCTGTCCTGCGAGTTGTATAAGGCCAACCAAGCTTGCCGCGAGAGCTATTGCTTCGGCCATGGTAGTATTATTCGTAAAAGATTTTGGTGAGCACTTTGGATTGAGAGTTGGTGATGAAGTTATAAGTTATATCTGTCGCTACACAGCCTCGCAGCCCCGCAGTCTTGTATGTACTGCGGGGGCGTATTGTGCTATTGGCTGCACGTTTGGCAAATTTACCATACATACATATATCTTGGTCTCTATCCGACAGATTCAAGCCTAGTGCTATAATTATCAAATATTCCTATCGAAGCCCTGTCTTATCATTCTAATATTTAGTTACCGACTAAAACCACTCTATAGTACATACTCTATGTTGTTTTCGGGTGTTGATGAGCAGGGGAAGTTTGAGCCAATGGGAACGTGTTTGGTTAATTAGTCTATTCCCCTTCTTTTGCTTTACCCAGCTTGCATCTGCTATATAATATGTACCTACATATACCCCATCAACGACAACTTCAACTTCAACTTAGTAGCACGAGCGACATTTTAAGATCATGTCTAATATTTGGAAACCAGCTAGAGTAGACACAGACTAATAAAAAATAACTCGTTTGGACGTTGATAGTACTGGCCCTGGATACATATGTAGGTACCTTGACAAGAGAACTGAACAGGGTATTGATTCTCATGTAGTACTCTGCTAAGCGCTATCCATTGCTGATTCAGGGCTTAGGGCTTAATGAACATGTTAAATACGTCACTTAACATGGTGCAGCTATCCGACAACCAAGTCAGCAACCATCAGCTGGTTAAATCCCTCAAACAAATTCTACTAACTCATCGCCAACTATTTGACCAACATGAAGCTCTCCCTAGTCCTACTTCCAGTTATCTACTCGCTCGCTTCTGCACAGCTTCTCTATCCGCTTGACTCCAACAAAGGCGCCTCACAGAACAAAATGCCTTCACTCAACACCGATCAGACTCCTCTCCAGTCCCATGAAATACTGTATAGCAGCGACAAACCCACGGGCGCTCTGCTTCTCTCTGATAAGCTCTCCCAAGATAGGAGCATAGACATTTTTGCGGAGTTGACCAGAAAATTTGAGTCTATCTCAACTCGACTTTCTAACACTGATGAAAACACGACTGTATTGGCGCCGTCTAATGTTGCCGTTTCGAAACTACCAAGGAAACCATGGGAGGATCCAAATGATGAAGGGGCGGGTGGGAATGTTCTCAGCAACATATATAAGGGACTTGTGGGAGAGGATCGTGCTAGCAGAAATGAGAGGAATTTTGTCGAGGCTCACTTAATCGGCGTTTCGCCATGGCCAAAGGGGGAGAAGGTAAAGACCTTTCAGGGGAAGGAAATCTGGTGGGACATGGATGGAAAGGACAGGATTGTATGTTTCGATCATCTTCATCGCGTCTGGGTATTATACTTATTCTGATATTTTTGCGACATAGATTTATCCCGACGGAACCAAGCTTGCCGCGCACCGCGATATTAAAACTGTCCCCAACGGAGAGATCTGGATCCTTGACGGTGTCATCAATTACTGAGACAGCGGCAACTATCTTTCCTTCCGCTTGATATCATGGTCAAACTCACGCAAGGATCTTTTAGTTCGCCAATTTCGTATGTGAATCTCTAGGTTGTTTTTGTTTCTTACTGCTGTTGCCACTCATAATAGCTGTACTATTACTGCGTTCGTGTTTATTTATTGATGACTAGTTACGAAATTGCTCAATACTGTTTTTACTGCACTGTATTCACCAAGCGTAATCGAGAATATTTTTACTGGCATGCTTATATCTAACAATAAAGCTGGATGATACACAAACTACATTTTTCTGATCCGGTAATAAATAAAAGGACAGTATGATATCTCTATTGAATTCATAACAGAGCCTACTCCCGCCGCCCAGACGTGAAGTCTATTGAGCATCAGCCCAATCATACACCAGTCTTTTATAAAGTACCTGGTCGGTATCGTTTTTTGTGAACTTGAGATGGCGGACGTAGTATCTAATATCGTTGATAGTCTCAAACCCCCAAATCTATAATTCCCACACGAGATGATCAGTGGCGTCAAAAAGCGCAAAAATAACAAAACGATCATACCTGCTGCGCAGTCCACTTGTTCGCATCATTAACGACATAGCTTTCCACAGCGCAATCCGCCTCAACTTCTGGCAAAAAGTTCTTCTTCAGGAAGTCATCATCTAGCTCTGATGGCTTTATGCGCCTGCTCTTCCCTCTGAGTTTCCCAAAGATGTGGTCCTCGTGCTCTCGCTCCCTATTCCGCCCGTAATTAGTCCTGCTATCAGATCATCAGAAAGCGGGAGAGCATACGTCCAGTCTAGAGTCCTGAGCTCAGTGGTGCCCTGAATACCACCAGTAAGAGTCTGGACGATGTCGATGTGCTCGACACCATCGTCATCTCGGTAGTGTTTAATATCAAGGCACAGATTCGCAAGAGCAATGGCTTTACGGGTGAACCAGCTAATGCCTTGCTGTACCGCGGGACACCATATAGTCAGTATGGCAATTCTACCAACTCACTCGCCAATAATTTAGACGAAAGGGGGGAATTACCAATGTGAGAACATCATCAGTGTCGTCCGAAAGGGTCTTGTTCTATAACCGCAAATTGGTCAGTTAGTACTTTACTCGCGAACAGTGCAATTCCACCACAACTTTGAACATACCATCCAGAACTTTCCTGTCAAGTCTTTCATCGTGGTTGTTGCCGGTGCCGCCATTTTGTGTAGTGTTACTTGTTCAATTGGATGGGATATAGTTCAGTAGGTAGATGGATATAGATGAAGTCCCAGGAGCTTGGGAGGTCTTTATATGCGTTGTATGCAACGATGCGGGGGTACACGCGGGCTGCAGTAGTACCGGTGCTTTGCTCTATTTCTACCAAAAATAATTGCTTTTCACATGCAAACTCTACTGGATTGCCCTGTACCTACTCCATGTAGCCAGCCATCCCCCACATGTATGTATCAAGGGGAAAAGTAAGTATCTCGGTAATTGCTCTTCAGGGGCTCGGGCTCCGAGCTCGTGATATGGTGATACGGACAAGACGTTCTACCTGGGTGGCTTCAATCCTGCAGCTCGCTCGAAGACGAATCTGAATCGATGACGATAGGAATGGGACCGGGGTAACAGTAATCACAGCGTCATTGGCCCACCACGGGCACGGCAGCAAAAGTACCAGAATCATATGTACCTGCAATAAATAATAAACTACACAACAAACACCCATGCGCCCAAGCTAGAGGGGCATATAGAGTAGAAGTAACTACATAATAAGTAACCTAAATTTACCTTGTCCGTCCTAAACTTATCCCCATCCTATCTCTAGCGTATCAGCAGCGAGAGGGAGAAAGAATGCATAACACAAAACAGCATCGCCGATGGAAACTCGCACGGTGAAGATAAAATAAAAAAATACCCTCCTAATAAACTTACAATTCATCAAAGAAATGAAAGAGGTAACTGATGACCAACAGGTTAGAGAAAAGGGAAGGGCGTTAATAAATAATTAGTACTCAGATAATTCAGAGAACAGGAAATTTAACCAGTGGAGTCTGGAAAGAGAATAAAGACAAAAAGAGAAAAGCTAATTAGGCAGCAAGCTGACAAACAACCGAAATCTCTCTAACTCCCACATGCCCGCTGGGCTCCCACCCCCTCCACTACCGTTAACCATCCCACTCCTTGCTGCGGCGATGGCCGCACAATCAATGGTATTGACTGCGCCTGGGTTGAGTCTCACTTCATAGGCAAGCTCCTCCTTCTTTTTGAGCTGTGTGTTCCACATAGGGATCTGCTTGGCAGCGTTGTTGTTCACTTTGTGCTCCACATTAAATTTATGCTGCCGGCCCGAAAGGCCAGTAGAGAGCGTGGGCGTGATTACAATAGCTTGACAATCCGCCGGAAGATGTATAAAGAACTGGGAAGTCAATTTATGATCATCGGGGGAGAAGTCTCTCGTATACTTGACCTCCCCAGAAGTCGCTGATACCGATGTAACACGAAGGTTTGTAATCAGCGCACTCGAAGCGTCTATATTCCGGGCAATTAGTTTTAAGCGGCAAAAGCATGTGATAAGTGAATTCCCTACCTTTCCCCTCGGCACGATACTTTGGCTCATCATAGCCCCCCACACGATGAGTCGGTGGTGCCGGAACCGGAACATTCAACGGTATTGGGCTCTGTGGTGCCGGTGTGATACTCAATCTCTGCGGAGGCGGGGGCATTGATCCCGGGGCTGGAGGACTCATCTGTTGAGACCTTGGCGTCCGTGTCATGGAATTCGCACGAAGTGTAATAGTTTCATTGTGTGGAGAACCCGACCGCCCCAACTCTGGTTTCTCGGGAGTCCGGGACCTAGTTATTCTAACTGGTATGGGGGCCAAACCCCCGACTGGTAATGATGTCGCGGCAACAGGAGCTGTTGGGGTCGGAGCTGCCACTGGGACTACGGGGGGTGGGAGTACAACAGGGGTGGGCGTGGGAGGACTGGGCGCTTTCTTCGGTGATACATTTCCATTGCTCGTTTGTTTTGATGGACTGCTTGACGTGGAGTTGCCATTGGTGATAGGTGACACAGATGGCGCCGCCGGGGAGCTTGAAGGAGCCCTGACTTTGGGTGTTTGCTGTGCGGCGGCTGTCTTTCCAACGTTGAGTCTAATTTTTGGCCCTGATGTCTCTTGTGCATGTGGCTTCTGTGGTGATTGGGCGCGGTGACCGCCAACATTTATGCGCAGTTTTATACCGCTGGGAGCGCCGTTTGTTACGCTTGGAGCGTCTCCAACCTTTGCTTTTCCTTCTGCTAGGCGCTTTACGAAGTATGCCTACGTCCACAATACCATCAGCCCCACCATCTCCCATTCCCGAGCATGACTAAAGGTCCCAACTTACATTCAACTTGCGCGCATCCTTAACAATATCGCTTCCCTCGTCATTGAACTCCTCAGCGTTCTTCTTAATCAATGCGACTGCGTTCTCAAAATCGGCCCATCTGGTGTACTCGCCCTGTGTAACCTTCTTCTTGATCATATTGAGTGAGATCGGCTGTTTGATGATGCGAAAATATTCGCCATAAAGCTTTTTGCTGGGGAGGTTGAGGAAATAGTGGGCCACGGGCTCGCCTCTAAACTTGACAGTTAGTTCCTGTCTGGAGGAATTGGACATTTCCCTCTCCAGTGCAAACCGCCAAAGAAGTCAAACTCACGCTTCGTCCACCAAGGCCATCATATCCTCAACAACACCCATCATCGCCTGCTGCAGCGTCTGGGTCCCTCTACCTCTGATCGCTCTACCCGCTGGTGTATTGTCGGCCTCTTTCTTTGCCTCCTTTGACTTTGAGACTTCCACCATATATGCATCAATGACATTTTTAACTCGGATAGAATCGCTGTGAACCTGGCTCTTAGGCTTATTGTATGTGGCGGCATTTTGACACATGAGCAGAAGGTCGGCCTCAACATCTTGCAGTGTAGCGTAATGATTGTTGTTGAGCTTGGTCTAGCGAACGTGAGTGGGGCAGAAAGATTGGGAGGATGTGGATTTATGGACGGACCTGGATCTCATGCAGGGAGATTGGGTTTTTGATTTTTTGGTAATAGTCAGGATAATCCGCCTGCGGTGGGTGTTAGTGGTGGGGAACAAAATCAGGGGCATGAAGAGCTCGTTTACTTGGTTGGGGAGCTTCTCGAAATGTTGACGGATGTGTCGATTCCTGGGAGAAACATTATGGTTAGCATTTCATTCGACAGAAGCTATTTTATGTAGGGTGTAGTATTGGGAGAACAAGATCGGATGAGATGAGTTCGGGTTGAGTTGAGCGTATAAGAGCAACTACAGCTGCTACCAGTACTACTAATGCTACAGTTGCTGCAACTACTACTAGTATAGCAGTGTAATAATAGGATATATATCACAACCTACCTCTCCTGATGGTTCATAATCGCATCCAGCAAACCTTGGCCCAAAGCCTGTGCAGACTTTCCCGTACAATCAGATCCATTCTGCTGCACAGTCTTATGTCCCGTTAGCTAAAGAAGAGCTACCTATATCGCATATCGCAGTGGGGTAGAAGGGGTAAGGGGGGGTAGGCAGGTAGGTAGGTAGTCAGATAGATAATAGCTGAGCCTCATGATCAGGGATAGCCAGAAACCACGCGAGAAAGGTTGATTGATAGCTATCCCAAGGTCGCGTTTCCTCTCCTGTCCTTTCTTCCTTCCTTTACCTCCCCGGCCTCCCCCACCAAACAAGAACACAGAAACTTACAGATTGCTTTCTTCGTTTCCTCGCTCGATCATCAACGTCGGGTGTAGGCGAGGAGGCGGTTGCTTGTATATGAGCAGCTTTGCGCTTATCCATCTCTTCTATCTTTTTTTTCTTTTCGCGCGCTGGGCGGAGGGGAGAAAAATAGAGTTGAGGGAGTGCTTTGTTGAAGTCGGGGCGGGCGCTGCTGTTGGGGGAAACGCGACTTCGCGACTGAACTGACTGGCTTAGTGTGAGTTGGGTTGGGTTGACCAAAAGCGATGCGCGCCCAATACTTTTTTTTTTTTGTTTTAAAAAAAAATCAATATTTTTTTTTTTGATAATTGCTCGTTTTTTTAGTGGCAGTTAGAAGGACCTTTTTCAATAGCAACAAGCGTGATGGGGTGGAAAAACGGCGGCGAGCGATTTCACAGGTAAGGCGGGCGGGGAGGGATTCTTTTTTTTTTTTCCTTTGCGTTGAAGTCGGTCGCTGAACGTCAACGAACGGGAGGAAAGCCACACACTTTGGAACTAGGCGAGCTCTCGTTTCGAGAATGGGGGATTGATGGGAGATTACAAAGGGATTGTATGGAATTGTGGTTGGAGGGTCATGTGATATTGTGAATTGCCTCCAAACCATCCCATATATTTACAAGCCACACATCGCATGAGAAGAGAGGTCAGAGGTGAAAGAATATTCTCTTCCATGTAGGGGAGTATGCGAGTGAGTAACAGTAGTCAGACGACGATTAAGGCGTTTCAGGTAACGATGAGAATGGTGCTGCATTATCATCCAGAGCTTTATTGTACTCTAGGGCTACGTAGTTTGTGTATCTTTGTGATGTATGCGCAACTTTAGCCCATTTTGAAAGTAAACAAGAGAGGCGGCGCTGACTTGACGAGTTGACGCTCAGGGACTCCGCTACTTAACTATCGACTTTGCTCCCTATCGTCCACGATCCCCTTCTCCCCTCACAACATCTGCGAGATTCTGTTCGCAGAGCCATACTAGTACATTCGGTGTTTATCAGCTGTCGTTGGTTCTCAGCACACTTCCCATCCCCTTTCGTCAAAACAAAAAAAACGTTGGTTGCCATCGTCGCAACAACAATAGAACAGAGCCGCGCTCCCCAGCCAGCCCCCATTGAGATTCCCCAAAACCAAAGAGAACACAAATAGGTAGGCAAATCACGCGTTTGATCCGTCCCTTTCTGAAACCATTCCTCCTTGGCCGCCCTCCTACCCGCCCCCGCACACGCCGCACGTATTTGCCCCTAACCCTTCCCTCCCCCATTCAAATCACTCCACACCCCCCCCCCCCCCCACTACTTTATTAACCCACCCGCCCCGCCGCCTTCGCATCCTTTTCTGCGCAAAGGCTCAACAATCTCCAACTGTGCGCTGATAACTCCCACGCACCATCACCTAGCTTCGTCGCCGTAACCCTTCCACCTCAATCACACCTACTACAAGTATACCATGGAGAAAGGCTCTAGTTCCCGCAATCGTCGCCCGCGCATGCTCTCTGAATCCGAGAGAGAGCGCCTTGATGAGTTTATCGATCTGATCCATTACTCCGACCGGTAATCCCACCTACCCCCCTCAAGCTTAACCTAAACTGACACCTTGATAGCTACTCCGACAAGACCTACGAGTACAGGTGCGTGCATACGCCGCCATTAGAAGCTCCCCCAATCCAAATTGCGAAGCTAACTTATTGAACAGGCATGTCATGCTTCCCAAGCAGATGCTTAAAGCGATCCCCAAGGACTATTTCGACGTCGAGACCGGGACCCTTAAGATCCTCCACGAAGAGGAATGGAGGGGTCTCGGTATCACTCAGAGCTTGGGATGGCAGCACTACGAGATTCATGCGCCTGAGCCGCACATCCTCCTCTTCAAGTTCGTGCCCACTCCTCGATCGTAATTTATTTTGCGCTCGCCCATTTTCTTTTTTTCCTTTTGGCGATTTCTAGTTTAAGTTGCTGACTTTTCTTTTTACAGGCGCCCCAAGAACTTCCAGGCGAACGTTCAGTAGCCACGCTTCACGAAACGCAACGGAGGGATGAATCTTTTTTTTTCCTTATCATCACTATAGGCGCTCAAGGATAACGGATAAACGAAGCAAACGGAAACGGGCAACGAAATGAATGATTCTAAGAAGCAGGTTTTTAGTAGATAGGGATAAGAGATTAAAAGAAAATGGGGCACATACTCACGATTTTCTTTCTTTCTTTCTTTTCTTCAACTATACTTTTCAATTAACCCAAAAATCTTCATTTGGCATGCAGAGATTCGATAGCATTTTCCCTCTCTTCTTGCTGGCTTTTTTTTCTCTCTTTTTTTTCTGTGCGTGTTCTAGTCTTATAGCTAGCTGTCTAGTATTCTTTTCTTCGTTCTTCCTGTATTACTCATCGGTCTATGGCGAGCTCAGTTTTCTCACCCCTCGTACCCTATCCATCTCCATATATTTGCGCTCCTGTAAATACTAGTAATTCCCAGACACTATCTTCTGTACATGTACTGCCTGTGAATATCAACAGATCCTTACACGATGTATCTACATGTACCCAACCTAAATAGCAACGGCACCCTCCACTAGTGCCCGTTCCCGCTCCCGCCTGTTGTACCTGGTTCGTGGGTCGACGCTAGGGGGCTACAGTGACGTCTTTGTGTTTCACAGTAGGGTATGGCGCCCGGCGCCCAGGGTTGCCGTTGAAAACCCGATCAGTCAAGTTGAGTAGAATAGCTTCTAGACCAACCGTATGCTGCGCCTACATGCAATATTACCATGATCTAAAGGAGGTGTACCGCTCTTATTCTTCTTCTTCTTCTCCTAGCTTCTCCTAGCTTCTCCTTCTCCTCCTCCTCCAGCACCGTAATAACAGGTCATTGAAGAGTCATACATATGCTCTCGTTTATGAGTTCACCCGGAATTTCATGCTTACGGTCGTCTCACCTCTGATTTCTTGAGCTTTGATAACATGAGAGAGAGTTGAAAACCTATGGGTGTACACAGAATATAACCGCTCTGTCCTTTGAATAGGCGTAAATCGATATTATGCTGGGATTTATCACATTTTACATCCTCAATTCTCTGTAAAGAGATGGTGTCATGGGAGTACTGATGGCAAACTAGGTTTCACGTTTTCATGCGCCAAGTCACAGGGCGTATCGTAATATTTCAGACTTTGCTAAATCCAGATTGTTATTTGTAGATATTGAAATATTTATTTATCTATCCTGGTTCCCCCGTCTAAAATTACATCGTCCCATTCATACAACTTACGTTTCCTTCTACACTTAAATCATTACTTCTACATTTCCGCTTGCTTCTGGGTATTATTGTTTCTGTATTTTATTTTGGTCATCTTCTTCTCCTCCCTCATGTTGCCGTTTTGTCCTTTTTCTTGAAGACCCCCGTTACCTTCTTCCAGGCACCCTTAACCCATTTGACCAGCTTTTCCCAAGCTATCCCAGTAATTAGCATTCAACACTTATAAAAAAATAATAATCAAAGACTTACCCGATGGTTTGCGTCCACAAGTTGGGCATGCTTCGTGTTCAGCTATTCCATTGTCCTCTGCAACTGGCATACTATCCACCAAATCGCCAACGGAGCCCAACGGAGCCCATGCGCCTTCCCCAACGATAGGCTTTGGGAACGGGGAGCTTGGTGGTGTATCCAGCTCCTCTTCCCAAATACTCCACTCTGGATTTGGGCCTAAAAAGTTTCTCGGGCCCTCCCATACTGGCTCCAAACCCCTGCCGAAGGGCCATGGAGCCGAAGGGATTGCCTTTGGAAAGACTGTGGCTCTGTCTCTGTCTTTGTCTCTGTCTGATCCACCGTCAAGACCATAATCCTCTGAAAGGTCTAGAGGTATTTCGTCCACATGGTTAGCCAAACCACTGAGCATGGAAGGCTTTCTGAAAACGGGAGAGAGGTAATCTTCGCCCCCTGGAAGATATCAGTATACTATTAGGTTATTGTAAAGATGGGAACACTTACTCTTTTCAAGACACCGTAAAGGCGCTTGTAGTGTGAGGGTTGTAAGGAACCCTAAAAATAACAGCACGCTGTTGAATTTCATCTTGGTTGGTGAGATTGAAATAAAATCTCGAGTCGGAATTGAGGGTATATATGAAGAGGGATCTGTATTGTCTGTGAGAATTTAGTTGAAAGAGAGTGAGATGGACGGGTTTATATAGCCATTCAGACACCTCTCGCACCTATCATCTGTTCAGAACAGCCAGTACAGTCGCCCTACAAGACGAGATAAATCGTCATGGGCTATGCATATATATAGCGTCCGTTTAGCTCCCTCGATCGACAAAGTGAGAGTCCCCACGGTGATGATATTTTAGCAGTGGGCTGATGATGAATGACTTTAAGGAATTCTCGGGAGAAATATATCCACCCCGCATATACGAATGCAACAGATGTGACTATGATCTTCCATATAAGGCCCATAGATATAGGTGGTAGGTATATATCGTAAGGCACGCGTCGTGTATTCCAATGGCTATGACGAGATCAAGATATTTTATGAGAGAGGAGATCATAGTGTAAGGACTGCGAGAATTTCTAGCTTTATATGACATTATTGAGGACAGATTTTTGGGCCACCTATTCTTTGCCATAATTTAAGTCCATAGTTTAATTATACAGTTGTAATATGCTTAAGTGACAGTCACGTATGCCTACGACACTTAACCTTTAAGGACATATATACTCCGCACGAAATATATACTACGTGTACTTCGGACTTCTCGAGAAACTTACAGACAAAACCAGTGTCTCTAAGCTACATGTATATGTAGCGCCATAAAGAAACACCATTCTAATTTTGTAAAGAAGGCGCACATACATGGCTAGAACAGGGAGATATTATTCCAACTGGAGTTTCGAGGTATATATATGGTTTGTATGGATAAAGTTACCTGGAGCTGAACACCTCAAAGAGGTTCCACCATATTGGATAAAGGCTTATCGGTATCCGTAGTGATAAATACAGTACAACTGATGATACTGTGTTGCGGCGTTTTAATCATTGACCTTTGACGAACCAACTCTTTGTGACTGATATAGGGCTAAACCCGTGTAGATAACGTTCTTA